CGCTCGCGAGCAGCTATTAAGGCTCACGCGTGGCATACATCAGGTGGCGTTGGTGTGGCCAACACCACGCCCAGTTTCCGTTGTATTCTCTCGGATGATGTTTTCACACCACACCAGGTACCATTTCAGACTGAGCCTACCCTTGGGGAAGCTCAGGAGAGGTTGAGAAACCCGATTTGCCACCAATGTTCGTAGTGACCTGGAAGCCAACCAGGGTGACGGGGATTGTAGCGCGTTGCAGTGGCGTCACCACAGCGCTTGTGCCAGGCTATGTGCACTTTGAGGCCACGTGCAGTGTCGAACGCTCGCTGGCAAGAGGTCACGGGACAGACCCAGGTGGCATGGGTTGAGTGACTGCGATGACTCGCAGATGCACCAGATGTGTCCCCTACTGTGCCAACTTGCTGTTTTAGCCACCCGCTCGCTGTGGTGAATGTCGCTCAACTGCACTGCTACACTCACACACACACACATGTATCTTTACAGGTGACATTCCTGCCTTGCTCCACTCTAATCATTAAAAAAAAAATCCATAGTTAATCATTCGTGTGGTCACCTGCAAATATTCTCTCCATCTCGTCGTTTACACAATATCACACGCACACGGGTAATCAGTGCCGGATTATCCCAGTAGCAAAAGAAGCTGCAAATGCTACGGGCCCCCGCACTTTCAATAGCCCCGCGCTAAATGCTTTCAAGCTATCAATTCCGGTTCAGTGATTCTGCACTTGCTCTATTACTATAGTACTATACCGCCTTCAACTTTTATGAACGACTGGGTGTTTAAGGTTAGCGATTTGTCGTCTTATCTGGCTGTATAGCAAATGAAAAACTAAAATTACTTTACTATGCAAGCAAAAAATGTTTGTTTTAATATTTACGTGTTTTTATTTTTTTATTTAGGGCCCCTTTATAACATATGCTACAGGCCCCGCACTAGCTAAATCCGGCACTGCGGGTAATGCAACCATTGTCGAGACGGTAGGCTATGCAAATAAGTTGATCAGATTGACGCTCTCTCGAACAAAAACGTTAGCGTAATCAAGTATCCATACTCTTTGGTTCTATTCGGTAAAGTCACGTAGGTAAAAAATAAAACAACAAAAATCACGACGTTTGTATCTTGAAAACGTTTGTATCTTGAAAATGATGTACATCTCATGTCGCGATCGACTTTGGAGAAAGAGCGATGGTCACGTGGTTCGACCGCGCTGCGCACGTGACGCTGGCGGTGATTCGAGTTGACCGCTCGTGCGAGTGGCGTCGACGGCGAGTAGTGTGTGGACAGGTCCCGGGGTGGGGGTGGGGGTTCACACTGCACCAACCCGCACTGACCACCCAGTGCGGTCAAGTATGGCAAACGACACCGCAACGACCGAGCCAGCAACGGGCAGGCCTTCATCCAGCAGTGTACGGTATCGACAGAGGGCAGTGAATTTAATATAAATGTGGGATTGCTTTTTATCAGTCAAAATAACATACATTCAGGTTGAGTTAACCTTAAAAAAACTACAACACCGTGCCTCTGCAAGGCTTTTTATCCCTATCTAGAAACATGCGTTTAGATTATTTCTATGAGTTTGCGGCCACACATTTCCATATGATAAGCCACTTCGTTGAGCTCTCATTTTGTGGCCAGGTCGGTTCTGAAAAAGAAGCTCACAGCTCAGTGAACCTTACCTGGTAAGATAAACATTGTTTAGTTTTATTGAAATTATAATATTTTAAAGTGATTTGTTTACCTTTCTCATACTTTGCGCTCCTACCGTGTTGTTGTATTGTTTGTTGTTCTAACGTTATGACCCACCCCTACTGGAGATCTGTAAAAAATAGCTTTATAGCGCATCGGATTCCTCCAGGATGAATACATCTTCTGATTCCGTGTGCATTGGCTGCTGATGTCCTTACTTTAACCCAAGCTGCTGACACCCCCCATCACTCCCCTTTAAAATGTATATTGCGATAACAAAAATACAACAGGTAAGAAATAAATAATAGGAATGAATCACACTGCACATGCTCAGTAATGTCACTCAGTCACCTGTTGCTGTTATGGATTAATTGCACTTGGAGGCTCAACCAGGACGCATGTTGAGCTGGTAGCGCCTCCCTCTTGTCAGCCACGCCTCCTTTTATAATAGCCCCGCCCACTTTCCGTGTAACCATGCCCACTAATAATAATAGCCCCCCCCCACTATTCACTTAGCCCCGCACATTCCCCACGTAGCCCCGCCTACTCCCCACGTAGCCCCACCCGCTACTCGCGTAGCCCCTCCCACTCCCCACGTACCCCCCCCCCAACTCCGTACGTGCCCCGCCTACTGCTTGCGTAGCCCGGCCCACTGCTCAGGGAGCTCTGCTAACCACCTCTATTGCCCCGCCCACTACTCTGGTAGCCCCGCCCTTTGCCCAAATAATGAGCTGGGCTTTAAAACTAAAAATAATTTAAACTGGGACAAATCTTAATTTTCGCAAATTCTTGGGACTAGGGTGGCCGACTCTAACACAAGAACAACAACAAAAAAACGGACATTTGGAAATAAGAATGTCTCACGACACCAGAAGAGGGAATAACTTCCTGTAAACGCATTGGCTTCATTGGTGTATTGTTACGCAACTTACAAAACACAGGACATTGTTTTATATCACGGGCAAACCGACAGAAATTGAATGACAATAACGTGAAAAGAAGATGATCCTAGGAAAATCATGGCAGATGGTAACCATATTCAGCACACTGGGACAGCCTCTGAAACCAGGGACCATCCTGGCCAAACCAGGACATTTACCGTGTAGATAGTATATGAATTTATTCACCCATGATAAGCTCAATGAGTCTCAAGACTCTTTATAAGGAGGGCCCTGCAAAGTTTACACGACGGGGGTGGCGACGATTGCTATGCATTGCCCAATTAAATAATTAGCAAGTCATTTTTTTCATGCGGAAAATGTTGAGTTATGACGCAGGCACATATATTGGCGTAGTCTTCTTTGAATCACGTCGACTGCGAAGCGGACGGTTTAATGTTATGGTTATGACGCTCGTATTATTAACTAGGATGGTCTGCCAGATACCGACCGTGCAGCTCTGTAATGAGCAGCAAGTGGCGCTGCGACTGGGTCACGCTACACTTGTAACCTGTTACTTCCCAGCATTGCAAATTTATGAAGCTGCCTGGCACGCGTCCATTATGTCCCAGGGAATTTGTCAATGTAATAAAAAAAATACTTTGGCAGAAACCAAACTGAACAACGCTCATTCAAATGCAACACACAGGGTGGCATTTATATATATAAACAATAGTGTGGCAATGCGCTGGGCATGATGTCGCTGGCATCTAATCCCATGCTTTAAATATGAGGTTATTGGATCACACAAAGAGATCATCCCGAGTTTGTGAGATATCTAAATCTTTCTTCTCTGTATGTCTAACTGTATATGCGGCTCATCAGGAACCATGGCCATATTTATCTTTCGGAGAGAGGCAGTCAGTCGTAGGCAGAGGGGGGGAAATAAGGAAGGTCTCATAACGATATTCGTGCCACTCTTGTAGCGCAGGGCTGTGGATCACGAAGGCGCTTTGGGTTTTCAAGACAGGTATAGCCTGCACTTGAACAGGGGCCAGGGATTCGATATCACGGGCGGCTGGGGATATTAGTTAAAGGCTATGCAGGTAAGGAAGGAGAATTAGCAGTCGTCTGGGTTGTAATAGGATAGCAGAGCTCGCATCATTCCTTATTTGCTGACATTTTTGTTTCGTTACACAGAAGTGGAAATTAGAATCTAAGTGGGGAACCAAGACGTGTCGGGCACATGTGGAGGGGGTGGGGAGGTGGATGATGCTCACAAGTCCACACAGATTGGTCGTGAACACACTTGACAAAATCCAAAGCTGGTCCAGAATTTGCCTGCTCTAACGTGCACTGGTGGAAAAGATTGCTCCGCAGATCCCATAGGTCATTGCACCACAATGTTTTTTTACGTGAATTAATCAGACGAGAGCATTTTGTGATGATATTAATAATGAAACAAAAATCGCACTTTGTAAGACTGAGAGAGATGGCGATGGTTTGGGGAGGCCTTCATCCAGCAGTGGATTGATCATGGATGATAATGATGATTATACTTCCACTACCAGCACACATAGCGACTTTTGTACATAGTGTATATACCTTGACATGATGAGAACATTCTGCTGCGGTGTGATGGTTAACACACTGGACCTGCAACCCAGAGGTGGCCACTTTCATCTCCCGGTGCGGCAGTGGAAACAATGAATTCCTGCCGAACAGAATCTGCAGGGGGTAACGCCACAGTCGAGCGACAGGTCACGATTGTTGGGTTTAAAGTGTGGGTAATCCCAACTCATCCAAAACGTCTGGCCGGTGTGGAAGAGTAGGCCAACAACAACAGGGGGTCCTGATCTAGAGGGGCTTTCTTAAGCTTCCAATTTAGTCCATGAACCCAGACCAGATGTTTCACTTACCATCTGAGGTGGCATATATTTAGTGGCGGTTCCAATTTCTCTACGTGGCCGATACCATTCACTGATGTGCCAATCGTTTGAAATCAGGTAATCGGTTTATCCTTTAGCTCATGGCCTACAAGAGCGGGCTTTCTGCCAGGAGTGGCATACGCAAACAATTACAGAAGTCCTGCACCTTTATCTTGGAAATTCCAATTACTTGGTTCAATTAACTACAATAATCCTCATACGAATGTAAACTTACGCTGACAGGAACTAAATAATTAATTTCACGTACCAAAAAACCCCTAAGGTTCAGCTACAGTGGTTTCTCTTTAGAGAACATTTATAAAAGCTGTGGTTGTCACATTCTCACCAGTGAACCCATTCATATAAAAAAACCCTCCTAAGTCTCTTTAAAACATTTCTTTATTTAATTTCTTTCTTCTCCCGCCCATCCCACCATTTATTTTCTTTAATTCTTTATTTTTTGGCCACTTTTCAGGCTTTGGGTGGATATGTGGGGGTGGGTGGAGTTAGCCACCCACCACCATTGGCTCTGCTGCCCCCGCTGTCACTTGGACAAACCTCACACACACACAAGTCGCCCGTAGACCCAGTCACACGCACACACGCGCACGCACGCACGAACACACACATACAAGTCGCCCGTAGACCCAGTTACACGCGCACACGCGCACGCACGCACGAACACACACACGCGCGCGTCTCATTCCTTAGCTGACACACCTGTCTCTCTTTGCTAGAGGCGAAAGTGCACGGATAAACTCACTTCTTCGACTCGCGAATGAATTGCAGGTTTGTTGAACGCAATGTCTAACTTTCTCTCTCTCTCTCTCGCTTCTCGGTCCGGTTGTTATTTGCTGGTCAGAGATGGTAACAGATGTGACGATGAGATGTTGTGGCTGTGTGATGCTTTAATGCTCTTCTAGACTCTCCTTATGGAGAGAGGTTTGCTACTCCTCCTCCTTCGTTGAAGGAGTGCAGACTAACAGCGGTTTACTACGCGGTCCCATAGTTTGGGTTGCATGGCCACAATCACAACCTGGCTTGTCTTTTAATGAAGGCTCTAAACTAACGATGATCGTGGTATTAATGACGACGATGGTGCTAAGCAGGATGAACAAAGTGAGTATGGTGCAGTAATGCTCATCTCTGCTGGCAGCCGTGAGTCGGTAGTAGAAATTCCACATTGCTATGGCAAGGCTCATACCATCCAAATTGCAGTAACTGTTGACTTTTATGCATTGTGGTTGTGATGCTTGTACAATTGCCCGTGTTTTTGGATTAGTATCTTATTTCAGTTCTTACATTTTCCACAACGACCGCTCATGATTATTGTGTACGATGCATCTCCGGAGGTCATGGTTGGTGATTCGAGCAATCAGAGACAGCTGTTGTGAAACTCTCCATCAGCTGGGGGTATGCTACGGTCACCCGACAGCAGTACAGCAAATGGGTTGAAATCATATTTGCATGCATGTATATTGTTATTAAATTATATGCATTGCGGGGTTGCTCTGCAAACTCTGCTTTTACACCAGACGCTGAACAATAATTGGCCAGATATCCCAACGCAGAATCCTCCTTGAAAGGACTCTTGAGATTCACGCTTTCCAGAGTTAATGAAGCATATTTAGAATTATTATCATTGCCACTGTACAATTATGCGTATTATTGACCATGTATTCACACATGGATGATTATAATTTATTTTTGGAGATTTTGCCAATCATCATCATCATGACACGGTGTGCTAATATTTAATAAATATTTGATTCAAAGAACAATGCAGATTGTAAGAATATTGGAGATTTGAGCAGAATATTCGTACATTATTCTTAATCACCAGGTATGAACACATGCGCATGTGTGACTGTGCACATGGGATCGGTAGTGTAGCGGTTAGAGTGCTGTGCTACGAACCTGGCGACCCGGGTTCGTTTCCCGCTCACGGCCAACACCGCTGATAGCGATTATCTAAACCGATCCTGGGCCTCCCCTAGGTCGACTCAGACCTCCAACGAGTACCTGGTGCGGTGTGTAAACATCACCACTGGGGAGACAAAGCGGCTGGGCGTGGTGTTGGCACACCCAACCCCTCGTGTGCTGTCCCGGCCTTCATAGGTTGCCTCCTTGCTCACAGCACTTGACCCCAACAGCCTGTTATGGCTACACGGAGGAATCTTAGTCTTAGTCTTTTTGCATGAGCACTGCATGTCCATAATCAGCCCGTGTGTGCGCGTGTCTCTCTGCTTATGTGTGTGTGTATGTGGATAACAGCTCATAAGGGAAGACGCCTGGACTGAATATTTGTCTCCGCTCTGCTCACTGACATTCCCCCTATTGACCACCGTAAGTGACGCTCCCCTTTAAATTCACCACTTTGCTCCGAGTGTTATTCATTTCCGATCCACGGTTTTACGTTTTGTTCCCCCACCCCACTCCCTTCCTCCTCATCCTGCTCATATGGTCTTCTTTGATTCCCCTCGAAACGATGGCCGGCTCGCTCTCCTTTCTGCCAATTCACCACAGCGTAAAACAAGCCACTTAGTCTAATGCTGCTACGTTAGCGGCGCACATGTCAATGATTCGGTTATGTAATGGAGGAATGTTATAATGCCCCTGGTTATGCAATGTACAGCACATTACCCATGTGAATTCTTATTTTTGTTCAATTTAAATATACGAATGTTTGTTGATCTTGTTGCGCAACGTACGTAGCCAACCGTGCTAGCCATCCATGCTCATCACTCTAAGCAATATGAATTAGTGGGGGGAAAAGGCAACATCGCCCCCATACTGACATGTTAATGCCCGCTTGTCAGGGATGGTACTACTTCAGCTTGTGCCACGCAGGGACAGTTCCCATTAGGGAGTCCCCTAGGCTAAATAAGAAACCCACAGCTGGGCATTGCTATGATTTTAAGGCGACTTGAGATTCTAGGCCAGTTAAGAGTCCAATGCTTAGAGAAATCCCGAACACTATGAATGTGTCTTTGAGATTCTTTTTTTATCGTGGGGAGCGGTGGCGCAGCAGTTAGCGCGCTGCTCTACAAAACGGGCGACCCAAATTTAATTTCCACTCACAACCGTCGTCAGTGACAAATATTTGAACCGGTCCTGGGCCTCTCCTAGGTCGACTCAGCCTCAAATGTGTACCCGGTGCGGTGTGTAGTAAACATCACTAGCACTCGGGAGACAAAGGCGGCCGGGCGTGGTGCTGGCCACCCACCCCTTCGTGCATGCCGTTCCGGCCTTCATAGGTGCTCGCTAACAGCACTTGCCCCAACAGTCTGTGAAGGCTACACGGGGGATCTTTGTCGCTGTGTGTTTCTTGCAAATGTCATCGACCTGCATGACGTGAGCACCCCATTTGTCAATCCCCTGCTGGATGAGGTCCTTGCTGCGTGGTATGGGTCGTGGAGGATGTTTGACTGTTCAGTGCTTGACAAGCACATAAAGGTCCTGGAGTGGCCTAGCCAGTCTCCAGAGCTTAATCCCATAGAAAATCTGTGGAGGGAGCTGAAGGTTCGAGTTGCCAAACGTCAGCCTCGAAACCTTAATGACTTGGAGAAGATCTGCAAAGAGGAGTGGGACAAAATCCCTCCTGAGATGTGTGCAAATCTGGTGGCCAACTACAAGAAACGTCTGACCTCTGTGATTGCCAACAAGGGTTTTGCCATTAAAATGCAAATCAATTTATAACATTTTCGACATGCGTTTTTCTGGATTTTGTTGTTGTTATTCTGTCTCTCACTGTTCAAATAAACCTACCATTAAAATTATAGACTGATCATTTCTTTGTCAGTGGGCAAACGTACAAAATCAGCAGGCGATCAAATACTTTTTTCCCTCACTGTATATCAACAGAAACGTTAAATATGGTTTGGATATTTCACGCAACTATTAGACCTGCTGATATGCGGCACCGGAATTAAAATTCGATTCGTGAATTGAGATGTGGATCCGGTGCCCTGAGTTCGATTCCCTTCCGTGGCCAACATCGTCGGTGCATCAATGATCTTGGACCAACTCGCATTGGACATCGTGGCGAAGTGTCGGTCATATGACGACCCATGACCGACACTGGCACGGTGGAAAAATCTTTCGTTCGGCGGTAGAATGCCAGAGGGGCTGTCAATTATTGATACCGTATTCAGGAACGTGGAGAACAGCGGACACATACTCCGCCACAGTTTTCATTCGATGGAGGGAAGCATTGATTTCACCCGCAGGGGCGTCTCGTGCTCAGCACTTAAAAATACACCATCCCATGGTCGGCGAAAGCCGAGTTAGTCGTCCTCCCGTGAAGCGTGGCACCATAGCCAATAGAAACAAGAAAAGCCCCCGACGAGTCGCGTTTGTTCGGGATGAGACTCTTGATTCATACTGGAGGAATGAGATGGGCTGTTAAGCAATCCGATGAGCTATGAAGCTCTTTTTCACACGTGGTGTCGTGCACATACACTCTATTCTAATTCCAGGTTAAGTGGCACTGTCGTTTTAGAGTGCTCGATGGGCCAATCTGAGAGTTGCGGGTTTAGATCCCGAATAAGGTTGACTTGACCCATCATCAATTTACCGGGTTCAATAAAATGACTACCGCTTTGTTTGTAACAGATCTACAGTGGTTATACAACGGATAAACTGGATCTTGCCAGAGGAATGTGGAATTTCCACTCCCAGGTCAAGGTCACATATGGCGATTAGCATTGGCCCCACGCTCGTGTGGATAAGTTACCAAAAAAAACCTTTTTCCTTTTTGTGCTCTTGAGTGCTCAGAAGGTCAGGCTCACAAGAATACGGGGATGAATGCTCCGTGGATGAGATAATGGCCCAGCGGATAACGTGGGAATGCTCAGTGGGCCGGGGTGTGTGTGTGTGAATTCTTGGTGGAAAAATTCTGATTGCTCGCTGGAAATAATGGTAATGATACTCGTTTAGTTTAATATGAAGTTGTTCGTGCAAAATACATCTTACAATCGCCGAGGAACCACAGACAAGCTGGTAGGCAGCCGGATGGTGAACCGGCATCATACATTGTCCGTGCTCTACAGACCTATATATATTAAGATATTTTCGGAAAATTTATGATTTTAAACTTGTGGGAGGAAACCGGAGCACCCAGAGAAAATCCACGCGTGTGAGCAGGCAATGCTGTCGAGAAGGGACAGACGACATTAGTTCGCACTTGGCTGTTCCGGCATTCTCCTAAGCAAGCCGGGCTATGGTCGAGTTGCACAGCATCAGTGTTGGGTTACAGGCGGACATAGCTGCCACCGCCTGCCTAAGCGTGAAGGACAATGGATTCGCAGCCTTTCGTCAATCCGCTGCTGGATGAAAGCCTCCACTTAACTGTGTCGGTCAAGGGGGGATTGTTTGACCACACTTCACCATGCCGATCAGCGTGAGTTGGCCGTAAGGTGGGCGAGATGCAGGACCGGTGCCGATATCACTAGCCGCGGACATTAGCCATGGCCTGGAGTCGAACTCGCGTTGTCGGGATTCACGAGTCGGTGCGCGAACCACCGCTCCGCCGCATGTCCCCGCGCTGGTCAGTGCAGGTTGGTGAAGTGTGGCCGGGACCAAGGACCGGTTCCTGTGTCAATCGCCACTGATGTCAGCCGTGGCTGAGAATCCAACTCAGTTTAACACATAGGCTTTCGCGACCAATATAAATCTCTAATATATATTTTTCAGATTAACATGATCCATTGTTATTGATGTGGCGACATTAACCCACCCCTCTGCTCTTCGCGCCTGATGGGCTCAGTGATGACATCATCGTTGCTCGACTGAAGACTGAAATGGGAGGATGTCTTCACAATTCTGGCGAATCGCCTGATGAGGCTGGTTGTAATCACCAGCGAAACTTCACCAATATTCGAACTGTAAATGTTGTGGGTGTACTCTACAACACACAACGGTTGTGCTGAAGTAGCAACTGATTGGCAGTGTTTTTTTACGTGACGAACCTTACTAATTTGCTCTGTCGGGCGATTGGCGGGTATGACGACGTATTTATACATTCAACAAAAAAAAACACTTTATTATGGAGAATCTCACTCAGGTTACCGGGTTCACAGCTCGGTGTGCGGACCCACTTGTTGACCTGACCGCTCCACCCACAGCGCGACTGCCCACATTGAAGACCGCTCTGCATTGCGAGCGGCTCCTGAGCCGCCGCGCAGACAAATCGTGGCTGCCCGCCGGAGGAGGACGATTTCCGTGGGCCCAGAGACGCATGTGGGTGCGCGCGTGCTCCCACCCCCCCCCTGCTCCTCCACGTTTCGGCACGCGTGCAAACTGTGGCACCACCAACCCTCCCCCCTCCTCCACCATTGCCGCAAGAATGCGGCTTGCTGCCACATCAAGACTGCCTGTCCAGGCGTTCAAAGCAAAGAGAGGGGGCCAGCTCTCGACCATAACTCATACCGACGTCAAGCCTCCGTTCGCTCGGCGCACTGTACGGCGACGTGCGCGACGAGGCGAGGTCTCGGGAGCGCGTGCCCAAGTCTCTCCCGGCCGAAAGTTGCGTCGTGCGATGTGGCTGACAGCCATCGGACATGCTGCGTGCACGCGTGTGCGTGCGTGCAATGTTGAACTTCTTTCGCGGCGTGCGTTTCAGTTTCATTTAATTGGTATAGCCCTGTGAGCCATTCGGCTCTTGAATCGGGTGCAACCGCAACAAACAAAAAAACTAAAACATGGACAAGAAAACATCTAAAAATGACTATGTGACTGTGCAAACAGAAAATCAAGGAAAAAAAACAGCAAAATATTCCACAAAAAGCACCGTACACCAACGCTGTATGCAAATAGCATACGACGTTTCGATTGCAACGCAAGCAATCATCATCAGGTACAAATGAAAGAGAAAAAAACCTAGTAAACTTAGAAAGGTATTGCAATACAACACAGAGAGTCGGCTAACATAACAGTCAACACCCCATCTGGTTGATAACGTTCTTCCAAAGATTGCTCAATTTGAGAGAGAGACAAAACACAGACACGGAGACACATAGACAGAGAGAGATAACACAGAGACACACAGAGAGAGACACACACATAGGCACACAGAGAAACAACGCCTCTGTGTCGAGGCCTTAAATAGAGAGAGAGGGGGGGTAGAGAAATTAGCAAGTCAATGCAAAGCCGTAGCCATGGAGTCAACATTGGGGGGGACCAAATCTTCCAGGGGGTCTGGGGTCCCCCCCCAGAAAAAAATGTAAATTTGAAAAAAATTATGCCATTTCCTGCATAAAATATTCAACAATTTCACTAAAACATGGGATGGAATTTGTTTTATTTGATACAATAATGTCTAAGAGTGTATTGTATTACATTGCTCTGTTTTTTCTTTTTCACCTTTTCTTGTTTCATACCATGTAATGGCAGAGATTAGGGATTCATAAAGTACCACGCAATCATATAAACAGAAATCTATGCATTGGTATATGAAGACAAGTACGTAAGCCAACCGTGCTAATCGGAGGTGCGGAGACAATCGTGGAAATTCTACATTCTCATGGTGGGGTCCCCCCCCCCTCTATTTGTAGAAGAATCAGGCTGCACTGTTCCTAAAACGGTACTTTGTTTTTTTGCGATGATGGGCCGAGTTCATTTCCCAACCGTTTAAGTTTTTTTTTTCATTCAATCGCGATGCCAGAAAGCCACCCGAGGCAATATCTGTAACAGTTTGAGTACGATTAATAGCGATGGCATGTAACGTGTCGAGGAAAGATTAATTGAGATTCAGCACTCCGGTTCAACAGGGTTCCTGTATTATAACGTTTGTCCATTTCGGTTAGAGTCTAAAGAGTGTTTTGCGGTAAAAACGTACCAAAACGGTGGTTTTACGTGAACGAAAGGAAGGTAAGATCGTGATATTTTGGCGAGCGAACACGTTCACCAACAACAATTGCCATTCTCCACAGCACATGGGTCAGAGAGGATTGCATCAATGAGTAGCGTATGTTAGGCGAAATGTAAATGTACGCCTAAAATCCACTGCTGGACGAAGGCCATGCGAGTGTGTACGTTGAACTTCTTTCGCACCGTACGTAGTCAACCGTGCTCAGCCGAGTGATGGGAGTTGTGTGGTCATACTTCAGTACGCTGACCGGTGCGGGTTTGGTTGAAGGTGGGGGGAGGTCAGGGGAGGGGGGGGGTTGGTTGAAGATGGGGGGAGGTCAGGGGAGGGGGGGGGGGGGTTTGGTTGAAGTTGGGGGTGGGTCAGGGGAGGGGGAATTTGGTTGTTGCAGTGTCCCAGTTCGGATGTCACTCACCACTCGTGTTAGCCGTGGCCGGGAATGCAACTCACGTGGCGGGGGGGGGGGCCTTGGTTCATAGAGAGAGTGATATCTAAGCTCCGCATGAATGCGGCGCTTGTGCTCGTATTGTGCCATGCACAGGGGCCACTCTGCATGTGGACCGGTGGCCTTCACTAATTTTCAGATGCGGGTGGCACTTTCGCCGATAAGACACATCAGTGCGTCAGGGGCAGCCACACATTTGAAACCATTGGGGGTGGGGGGGTTGACAGCAGCACGATGACGATGATGATGGGTGGGTGGGGTGTTTTTACATTTGTGTATTTTCTGGGGGGGGGGGGTGAGGTGGCAGGCCGCACGTCAGGGGCCGCACTAAAGGCCACCGTGGGGGAGGCCGCCGGTGGCCCCGCGGGGCCTTGCGATGTGGAACGCCGATGCTGAACGATCGGGTGGTCATGTGGGACTGTGATGGGGTAACGAATATCGGCGGGTGTCAACAATCCCACTGGCCGTGCACGTGTGAAGAACGCCGCTGTTAACCGATTTGCGTACCGGGGTGCTTTTCTGCACAGCCACAACCGGCGAGGTGTTGATCAGCGGTGGAGCGAGCGGCTCGCGATCAGGAAGGGTTGCGGAGTTCACGTGCCGGCGTGGCTAAATTAGGTGTCACTTTGTGGGAAAGTTGACAGGCAATAGTGTCACCCCCACCAGAGGAACGGGGAATTTCCACCACTGGCTCCGGGGCTATAAACAGGGGACGAGCGCCGCTTCAATGCTGATTTGAGTGAGGAAATGAATTGGACTTTGCACAATAGGGATAAAGATGAGGGCCGTGTATGTATCATGATCTGTGTGTATATCAGCCCTATGCTATCATTGTAGGCTGTGTAACCTGATCTGTATACATTTCTTTTTGCTGTCCTCACGTGAACCCAACTGCTAACTCATTGCTTTTTTAAATAATTTTAGCTGGGTTTGGAATCTTTCGTGAGTTTCATCAATGAAAACTGATCGTAATAAAGCGGTACATTGATCAAATCCCAGCAATCACGTTCCAGCGGTGTAGTGATAAACTTAACCCTCTTTCAGCCCTTGCTAATCCAATTTACGGCAACGCGTGACTACTCAAGGTGCTTGTTCCCTCGGCGCCCTGCAACGTACTTTGCTCGGCGACCAGGTTGTAGGGTCTGCGTCCAAGCGGCACGTGCAATTAGCCGTGGCCCATTTCCTCCCGCGTGCCATGCGATACATTTACTTAACAGCAATACACTGACCACTGTTGTACACACTGGTGCGCATCGGATCCCCGCACTAAACCGGACCAGTGGGCAATATAATAATTCATCGGTTCACAGACCGACGTCAAATTGGTAGGGCTCGCGATGCGCGTGTCGAATTGCTTCATACGCGCATATAGAAATACTCAACCTGTATTTCTAGACGTGTGGACAATGCTATGTATGGCACAATGTGATTTTGTCAAAAGAACCCTGTTGTGGAAATAAGACGGTGTATACGGTATATACAGGAGTAGATTGTGACATGGATAAATTAATGTAACACAAATCATAAAATAATAACTGGCAGTCTCTTGTCCATCAACTGATCGATGAAGATCTTCCCATGTCAGTCTTTAGATTTGTCTGACCATACTTCCCCACTTTTTGTCAGTATGGGTTGGTGAAGTGAGGTGCACTGGACCAGTTCCGATATCGCTCGCCACTGAGGATAGCCGTGGCTGGCTGGGAATGGAATTCGGGTCACCTGGATTCAGAGTGCATCGTGCCGAAGCTCTGAAGTCCTCTGTATATGAAGATGTTCTCCGCCAATTAATGAGTGTTAATGTCACAATGAGTGTATCATCGGTGACGACAGTCAATAAAGCAGGATGCTGAACATATCGATTTTCGCAGCCACTATTTCCCGACATTCTCTATTGTGATTCTGACTTACCAGATCATCTCCTGATGACGTTTGATGCAGTTTTAAACGAAACATCGCGTATCTTACTCGCTGCTCAAATGTGATCGTGAGATTTGGTCCATCAACCCAGAGGCGTGAAGCGCACCGTCAAACGTTTTGTACGCGTGACAATTGAAATGTCTTTTGGTCGTGTCGTGCCATGGCGGGTCTTTACGACACAGATTGTTTCGTGACCAAACCTAAACGAAGAAGCGTTTGTGCGCTCCCCCCCCCCCCCCCGCTCGTGTGTAAGCGCTCAGGTCAGGCGTTAATCTCCCGCTCGGACCTTCATCCGCGGCGTTGGTGGCGGCGGCGTCACGCGCGCGGTGGGTGGACAAGGGGACGACGCGGGCCCGCGAGGAGGAAGGACGACGCCGCCCTGGGCGGGAGGGCGCGGGGCTACGGAGCTCGCGGGGACCGGCGGCCATGGCACTGCCCTGGGCCCGGGTGCTGTGCTGCGTGGGACTCTCGCTGCTGGCGTGCGTGTCGGCTCAGGAAGGTAAAGTGACCCGCGCTACTGCAAAGCCAGTGAGTTAATCCCTCTTCATCTCATGTGGGACGCAAGGCCGCAAACGAGTTCCCTCCACTTCTTCCTGTCCTCGGCAACTTGTTGAGCCTCGCCCCGAGAGAGGTCGATCGCCGCCGCCAGCTCGCCCCTCGCCGTCTTGCCCCACGTGGTCTCCCAGGTTTCCTTTTGCCCGTTGGTGTCCATCTTCTGGGCAGTTTTTGGTATCCCGTCCCCTGGTCCATTCTGAGAACTCGACCGACCCATCCGACTTCGCCGTCTCTTGATGTCTCGTGTGTGATATTAGGGAAACCGGTCTTTCTGGGAGGCTCAAGATTTCCGTTCGGAAATGCACGCCCTTCCCTGACGTGACGCCGATAGCACAGTCTGTAACATTAAGAAGAGGTGCCCAATAACACATTAAAGCAGTCGATCAACTTTGTGACAAAATAAGCGAAAGTCAAACGTCTCGCCAACACCGCTGCTCCGTCTTTTGCCACATTCTGCCACACTTCCACAACACGTCGTTCACAAACCTCCCTCGGTCTCACTCCCTTCAAATCTGGCCGGGTGGCTCAGCGGTCAAGCGAGCGGCTCACAATTGTGAAGCTTGTGAATTCAAATACTGATAGGGGAGGTTGGCCCATCTCCACCATCATCAACCTTCTGCGTTCGAAAGCATGATTACCACTTTGTGGAGAATTTCAACAGTGGCGGTACTATCGGCGAACTCGCACCTCCGATTATTGCGGTTGGCTACGTACGGTGTGAAAGAAGTTCAACATACATGCATTCAAACTCGCCACCCACCATAGTAATGTGGAATTTCCACCACTGGGTCAGGGCTGTAAACGGAAGATAAGCGCCGGATGAATGCTCGTTCGAGCCAGACATCTCGTTGACTTGTTTTCTCTCTCTCCCCATTCAAACAGTGTACCCATTTTCTCACCTCCCCTCCACCCTCCCAACCTCGGTGAACCCCCACCCCTCACCGCCCGACCCCTGACCCCCCCTCCCTTTTGCTTTGCTGCAGTGTGCCGCTCCGTGCAAGTGGCTGACGTTGCCTTCCTCGTCGACGGCTCCTGGAGCATCGGGCGGTCCAACTTCGAGGAGGTGAAGACCTTCATCGAGGGGATTGTGGGTGCCTTCACTGGGTCCGCGCTGGGCACGGCGGGTATACGAGTGGCGGTGGCGCAGTTCAGCGATGACCCGCGGTGAGGAACCCCTTCACACCCCCGCCGCTTTGCCGCGGCCGTCGCCGAAAAAGTTTTGCCGTGCTCTCGCGCGTGGAAGTTTGCCCAGTTCTCGATCAGCCAATCGATCTTTAACTGCAGCCCATCGTTTGCTTTTTACCCATAATACACCGCGGCAGCGCATAATGAGTTTGTGTACGTACTGCTGTGTACGTTAAACGGGTCCCGTAGTTTAAATGGAGTGTGCTTGCTCATAACATCCGGTAATCTTCTGATGAGACCCAGAAGGTCGAAAACCTGTCCAGACTTCGCTTGCTTGACAGTTTTGGTCTGGAGAGCCAATAGGCCGATGGAATACCATTGACCTGGCCACTTTGCAGCCCAGTACATTGAGCAGTTTCACAAATCTACATGATCCACCAACCCTTGCCCCCAAAGCGCTGAATTGCAGGTGTGCGGCGCCACACCCAGCTTTGACGACAGACGCTCTCCGTTTTAACAGGCCATTTCCAGGACCCACCAATATCGCTCGCATTCCTCCTTCGGCTAATTCTTGAGCCCCTAATCCTTCGCTGTCCGCGCACGAAGCACACTTATGTCAGGCGCAAGGCTGCGAGGAGGCGTTTAGGCGGAGCGCCGGCCATGATCTCGACCATTTAAAGGAATCCATCGCCTGTTGCGCCATCGGAGCGTGCACCCGCAGTGTCAGGCGTCGCTGATGTACGTTTCCGTTAAAGCACTCTCTCGAGGTCGCACTTGGTGAGTGAGTGAGTTAAACTGTGTATAAACTCTTTTTTTTTTATTTGACCAGGTAAGGCCCACTGAGCTATGCAGCTCTTATTCAAAAGCGAGCTGGCCACACATGACAGCTCAACGAAGTGGCTTATCACATGGAAATGTGTAGCAGCCAAATACTCTAAACGTACATCGGTTCTAAATGTGGAGGGGAAAACGAGAGGACGCACATAAAACAAAAATCCATGCCACCACGGGAAGAGAGAACACACAAACTCCAAAAATACAGCAGGGCGTCGGGGTCCGGATTGAACCACGAACCTCCTGTATACATGGCGAGGCAGTTAACATCTGGCCGTTGTTTGCGTGCGTGGCTCTCAGGATGGAGTTCAGGCTGATGGACTTCACGACATCTTGGGAGGAGGTCAAGTCGGCTGTGCGAGCTCTCCCCTACAAGGGGGGCAACACTCGCACGGGAGAGGGCCTCAAGTTTGTGGCCGACACGATCTTCGCTCCGTCCACGTTGCGTGCCGACGTGCCAAAGGTGCCCCTTGCTGCGCTCGAGGCTGCAAGTGCTCCCTCGTTTCTTCTGGCTCCCACGACCCCGCATTGGAGTAGGCCCTCATCCAGCAGTGGATTGACAAAATGGCTCTCTCCACACGTGTACACGTGCCTATCAGGGTTGAGGGGTAGGGCGCTCGACTCGCAGTCACAAGTTAAACTTCCAGTAGTAGGACTGACTCAGCCCATCGGGTGAATGAGTCATTGAGTGCAGTTACACTTTGGCCATCCTATGGACAGACTGTTCCCCACCATGGGAATGTGGAATATCTACTCCTGCCTCAGGGTTGCTCGCGAAGATGAGTACTGATCAATGGTTATAACAATACCCGCTGTTTTACAAAAGAGACGATGCATTTATATGATATCCTACCTGATTAAGTAATCGGCACTTAGAATGATCTGGTATATTTAATGAGCCAGGAGATTAATGTGACTTTCTAGAGAAATTAACAATGGTCCTTTTATGGATAGACTGGTCCCCCACCGAATAAATGTTGAATTTCCACCACCGACTCAAGACTGCCCATACACACGAACATCGCTCAAGGCTCGTTATAGCGTGGGACCTCTGTGACTGAATTCATCAACGTTTAGGTTTTGTGACCGTATAGTTGACAGTTCTAACCAGTGATTGGCGAGGTGCTGTTGCAGGTGGTGATCGTTATAACGGACGGGAAGTCCCAAGACTCCGTTGAGAATCCCTCAAATCGTCTCAAGAGTCGTGGGGTCACGGTCTACGCCATTGGTGGGTTCCCACCTGACATCACCGCACTCCCACACCGCTGTGACGCATCAGCAGCGCGACACGGAGTAACAATCAAGATTGGCTAATTTTATCACAAATTACCTCACTTCATTTGGATGCCACGTAGTGACATTGCCCCCCCCACCGACCCCCCTGCCAGCAGATTTATGCCCACTTCTCTGGACTTTGCTGCCTTCACCTTGTTCCACACAGGGACACTATGTGTGTATGTTGAGCTTCTTTCGCACCGCACGTAGCCAACCGTGCTAAGCGGAGGTGCGGGGGGAAAGGACAACAAACTAAACACGAAAACGGGTTCTAAAGAAATTATTTTTTCCATCGAAATAATTTAAAAGCGCATAGCTCTAGTGGTTTCCTGATATCGGAAAGAAGAGGGTTCCAGACGGCCACTGGGGGTATCTCAAAGACATCAATGCTGATGATGGTGACGCCGCTACCGCTAATGCCTGGAAGTTGCGTCCGTCTCGCCGTATCTCGACAGGCATCAAAAACGCGGACAAGGGGGAGCTGGACATAATATCGTCACAGCCAAGCGAGCAACACTCGTTGTACATCGACGAATTCAAGCTGTTGAGGAGCGTCCTACCCAGGATCACACGGAGAGTCTGCCACGTGTTGGCAGGGCTGTCGTTTCAGCCCGAACTCCTGCCCACATGCCGGTAACTTCCCCTGTTTCGATGCGGCCCATTCCAACCTCCGCCGCCGTGACATCGCCCCAGGCGTGGCGCGTTGGCCGCTGGTTTGCAGAGGTTTGCTGTTCGAGCCACCCTTGTTTAAGCGGCGGGTGAACTTAGCATGAAGCAGGCACCGTTTGCGAAACGTTACGGATCCCGTGACGTTCGCCGGTGCGGTGTGCACGTTTGTAATCGGGCATTGCGAAGGCGAGGGTTGCTGGATCGCAGGACTCCCTTGCCGTGGGCGTCAAGGTGGTATAACCCGAGTTCGCCAGGAGAAGGCGGTACAGCAAAAATGTTGACTCCACCTTTTTCGTCTGCATGGGATAGAGCGTTTCCCCCTCGCACACGTGGATTTTCTCCGGATGCCCTGGTTTCCCTGCACTCGTAGGCACTCAATTGGCCGACAACACCTTCATATATTGAGGACCGCAAAGCTTGGGCAATTGTTGGCGCCGGCTGATTGCTTGGCCGCTTTCCAGCTTGTCTGTGGGTCCTCCACGCCCCTCTGAGTAGGAATGGTCGCTCTTCTGGAGTGCGCGTGATGAGTTGATATTAGTATTATTAGAAGGGGAGGAGGCCCGCGTGCTGGTGCCGTGGTCAAAATTTGGGAAATGTGACGACGAAAGAAACGATAGCTCGCAAAAAAACAAACCGAATTGGGAAGCGCGAAGCGACCAGCCTTAGTAGGTCCCTTCGTGAAACAATAATTAGCGGGGCTCCCACGTGACATTCACCTGCCGTTGTCGAACACATTCAAATATAGTTAGAGTGTGTTGCCTTTATTTTCCCTGGTGCTTGAACAGACGCAGTTTATGCATTTGTTTATATATTTATTATATTTATTATGTAATCCCCCACCCCCCCCCCCCCCCCCTTTGCCGCCTCCCTCCCGCCGCCAGATATTTCTTGAAAACAAAACAAAGCCACAAGCCCCATCACTTGAGATGGCAAAAGTTGCTTTGCATCTGCGGGCCAATGAAACTTAATATCGACAATGGGGGTGGGGGATAGAGGGTGGGTGGGGGCGGGGTGGGAGGGGGGGACAGAGAGACGAGGCGGGGGGAGGGGGGTTGAGGGGCGAGGTGGGGGGATAGAGGGGCGGGGGGAGAGATTGAGGGGCGGGGGGATAGAGGGGCGGGGGCGGGGGGATATAGGTGGGGGGGATAGAGGGGCGGGGGGGGATAGAGGAGGGCGGGGGGTGGGCTGAAGCAACATCACCGAGGACTCTTCTTTAACAAGGAATGACAGATTTGTGTTTTTGAAAGTGAAAACAAAAACTCCTGAAATTCCACGGGCGGTATTTGAGGAGTTACAAAGGTTGAAGGTTAAGACACAGATATGATTTCCCTGCCCCCCTTTCCTCCTCCTCCGAGTATTTTTTTTATTTTACTGCCAGAAAGATGTTAACGCCGCTGTGCCTCGGAGGCGGTGTTTACGGGGTGGGGGGTTCCAAAGGAGGAGTTCTGAAAGCCGCGTTTATGGGCATTAGACGGACGACTGTCACGTCCATTGCCCTACAGCATTTTAAGAAAACACCAAGCAGGCAAACCACTTTCCTTTCGCGTGGCATTGGAACCACGCAGCAGCAGGGCTACCGTTGTATTGCTAACAGGGTGCCGGCGGTGGTATTGGGGTAGCTGGTGGAGTAGTCCACTTGTCCCACCAGAGTACGCGTGTTGTATTGGAGTAGCTGGTGGAGTAGTCCACTTGTTCCACCAGAGTACGCGTGTTGTATTGGGGTAGCTGAGTGGAGTCTGCTTGTTCCACCAGAGTACGCGTGTTGTATTGGGGTAGCTGAGTGAAGTAGTCCGCTTGTTCCACCAGAGTACGCGTATTGTATTGGGGTAGCTGAGTGGAGTAGTCCGCTTGTTCCATCAGAGTACGCGTGTTGTATTGGGGTAGCTGAGTGGAGTAGTCCGCTTGTTCCACCAGAGTACGCGTGTTGTATTGGGGTAGCTGGTGGAGTAGTCCGCTTGTTCCACCAGAGTACGCGTGTTGTATTGGGGTAGCTGAGTGGAGTAGTCCGCTTGTTCAACCAGAGTACGCGTGTTGTATTGGGGTAGCTGGTGGAGTAGTCCGCTTGTTCCACCAGAGTACGCGTGTTGTATTGGGGTAGCTGAGTTGAGTAGTCCACTTGTTCCACCAGAGTACGCGTATTGTATTTGGGTAGCTGAGTGGAGTAGTCCACTTGTTCCACCAGAGTACGCGTGTTGTATTGGGGTAGCTGAGTTGAGTAGTCCACTTGTTCCACCAGAGTACGCGTGTTGTATGGGGCAGTCATATGCATCTAATGGTTTGCCCCTCACTGCATTCGCTGGTTGGTGGTGGCCTTCATCTTCGAAATCTTCCTGTAGAGTTCACACGAAAAAGTGAAACGAGTCCAATCATCCAGCCGGACGTTCGTTTGCTCAATGCCGGCTGTAAATAAATAAATAATGCCTTTTTAGCGATCGACAAAAAATCTCAAAGTATTGTCGTGCTCATGGAAGTACCGGGCGGTGTTCATCTCTGTTGGGTAATCCCAAGCAATATATTGACAAATGGGATTAATTTTCTTCTACACCTTAATGAATTCAATATCGCGCCATGGCACCTCGTCGCTATTTATTGTGCCCGCAACAAGCGTACACAGTAAATCTTATTTACTACCGTCCCTAATTGAACCGTCACCAAACATTTAAATTACATGCCACGCTAAACGCGCACATAAGCGCCTCTTATAAATTGCCCTTCATGGCATGTTTATGGAAGTGGGTGGTCAAAGGTGTTTGTGAAAGAGGTGGTTAACAAGAAAAGGACACGGCAATGTATGGCTCAATGACTTGGCAGGCTTATAATGGCTGCGTCTGAGCACTGCTGAAATCCTGGGTTTCTAGCCCCCCTTAGTTTGTTGCGAGTCTCTATAAATCTTTTTAGTGGTGGGTGGGGGGGGGCGCAGGACAGATCATAATGGCCATGTGAAGTCACTGAGTCCAGCACTGCTGAGATCCCTGTTTCAAATGTGGACGGACCACAAGCCATGGCTAAACTGGATTCTGAAGTGTAATGAGTTTTATGGTCTCAACACATTTACCGATGACAGCATGGAAAACGATCAGGTCAAATGTGGGTTTTCTCTCTGTGGCCTCATTCCGGCTCTTGATGACTTGTGGTTGTGTTCTCCTGTGTGTCGGGCGGCACTGGGGAGCGGGTCGTGTAAGCGGTTCGCTTGCCGCGCTGCAAACCTTGCGACGCAAGTTCGATTCCCGCTCACGGCCAACACAGTGATGGTTATCTGAACCGGTCCTCAGCCTCAAAATGAGTGCCGAGTGAGCTGTGTCAAAATCGTCGCTTGGGAGACAAAGTCGGCCGGGCGTGGTGCTTGCCACCCGTCCCCTCGTGTGTCGTCCCAGCCTTCATAGGTGCCCACTCACAGCACTTGCCCCAACAGTCTGTGAAGGCTATCCGGGGCATCTGTGTCTTTGAGCACTGTGTACAGGCCATATACGAACTCTGCAACTTATATGGATTAAGGGTTACTGCAGTGACCTCAGAGTTAATTCTGTGACTTTGTCTTCCATTGAAGTGATCAATCGCTCTCGATCCTCGGTTTTGATACACGATTCATTGGATAGGTAAAGCTTCGTGACATAATTTGTTTAAGTCACGCACAAGGTCAAAGGTCGACCACTGTCTTTGTCCTCTGACCTTTTGGAGATCATTCAAGTTCATAACGACTTGACATTTGTTCTAACTATATCGGTTTTCAACGCACACATCATAAATAGCTTTGGTAAATTATTTGATTCAAGTTTTTTTTCTATCTTTCTTGAAAAAAAATCGAATTGTCTTCTGAATAAATAATGGGGTAGTGCACACCTCGGTGATGGAAATTCCACATTCTCAAGGCAGTGGCCAGTCTATGTCATTGTTGAATATAATTACTAAATAAAAGATCATTGTTAAATTATTCGATGTAAGTTTTTTTCTACCTTTCAAAAAAATCCAACTCTCTGCTTAATGAGCAATGGGGTAGTGTACATCTGGAAATTCCATATTTCCATGGCAGGGGCCAGTCGACCTCCACAAGACAAATAATGTCAACCTTCCCCAACATCCGTGCCTCCCACAAAGTGACGTCTCGCAAATTGTGTTTCTCTGTCAAAGAAAAAAACAACCTTTCAAAAATGATGCATCCCGCAAACGATCATCCCTCCGCTGGTGACGAGTAAAATCAATTGACTGAGGTCCCGCTTGACCTCTCCTTCCTTCCTACCCGCCGGTCCCAAATGAGACCGCGGGTTTCACGCCACGTCCGAGAGCGCCACCCCATCTGGAACGTCCCTAGCGAAGCGGCCGTTGACTCGGGTCAACGGCCCCTCGCCCCGCGCCGGCCGGCCCGCGTTCCCACGCTCGAAGCCGCCCACGAGTGGCACCCCCCCCCCCCCCTCGCCGACCCCCCCCCCCCCCGACCCCCCCCATCTCTTCGCACCCTTAAAAAGAAGTCGCGTAGACGAAGAGAGAGTGCTTGTGTGTGTGGCTTTGACACTAGGAGGACGGGCGGGCGGGGGGGGCAAGAGTGGTCCTTGGGATGGGTATGACTCCCGGCGGTGGCGAGGGGACCGTAGATCACTCTGCCCACTCCGCGGCCCCCTTAACCCACCGCCCGCGTCCCATTGTTCGGTCGTTGTGGCGGCGGACGTCGGTGCCCCCGTGGCTGCCACCCCCCCCCCCCCCCCCCTTAGCCACTCGCTCTTCTGTGACAGTCGCCCCACCCCCACCAGCCCGCGTCATCGCAGCTCCCACGTCCGTCTTGACAGGGCGCTCCGGCGAGTCGCCCACACGGGGGAACAACGCGGCGGCGGCAGCCGGGGCAGCGAGAGTTTAACTGGGGGGGGACGGGGGGCGGGGCAGTGCGAGGTGTTGTTGCGGGGGGCTTTTATTGGGGGGGGGGGGCGGTGGAGAGATAGCGGCGTCAGTAGGGTTCAGGTGGCGTGAAGTGGGGGAGTGGTAGCGTAGTGGCGGGTTAGCGCTACGCCGCGCTGCGAACCCGGGTTTGATCCGAGTTCGATTCCCGCTCGTGGCAAACGCCGGTGACGAATACCTGAATCCGGTCCAGGGCCTCCCCTAGGTCGACTCAGCCTCGAATGAGTACCTGGTGCGGTGTGTAAACATCGTTACTGGGGAGACAAAGGCGGCCGGGCGTGGTGTTGTGCCACCCACCCCCTCGTGTGCCGTGCCGGCCTTCATAGGTTCTGCTCGCTAACAGCACTTGCCCCAACAGTCTGTTAAGGGGGAACTTTGTCTTTGTGGTGTGAAGTACAAACAAAAAAACCGTTTAGTTTGGGCTCGTTTCCTCTCGCGTGTCCCCTTGCTAAACGTGCCCCCTTGCTCCGGCGAGCGTGGGTTGGCCGTCATCTCCGTTGACAGCTCTGGAAATTCCACATTCCTCTGGTGGGGATCGGTTTAATCATACATGGGTAGGCCACTGCTCCAATGCGGTAACTCACTTTATTGGCACAGAGAAAATATTATGATGATGAGGGGTTGAGTTAAATCGTGACCAGGATTTGCGAATTGAGTACTCTGCCCACTGTGCTAGTCAGTCCCATGTGATTATCACTTCCCATCACTTCTACAGGGTTCATAAAATGGGTACCACATTGTAGATAAACTGACCCATACCATAGCAATGTGGAATTTCCACAGCTGGCTCAGAGCCCCCAACGGAGATGAGCTCCGCACAATACTCGTCAGAGCCGTGAGACCTTGACCTTTGACTTTTGCCTCCGGTGTGTCGTTGAAACGAATGTAAAGATTTATCGTTTTAAAAATTTTATTCAATTGTATGTTTTTGTCACTTACAACATACACATCCAATTGTGCTCGAGAAATTTCCATTATTTCAATTGTGGTTAGCGCATTGTATCCTGAAACCCAATAACCTGAGTTAGATTCCCAACCGTTACTCTAATCAGTGGTGATATCCGAATTGTTCCTGGGCCCCCCTTCCCTCTGTGCCATCAGCAGTGACCATCGTGGTCAAGCATGGCCTAACAAACCCCGTGAACGACACGGCATGACGAGACTTTCATCCAGCAGTGCACTGACAAAGGGCTGTGCAAAGTATAATGATATACCGGTACTCATGTTACATTTAGGCCACGGACGAGACTACAAGAAAATTTAGATGACAAATGTATATATATAGAAAAAAATCCCACCTGGAGATAGATGTTCAAACGACTCCCATGACTTCTTAAATTAATCATCAATAATTACATATACGTATTTTTTTAAGATCGCACAGCAAATGTGCGTCCAAACAGTTTCACCACTCCATGCAAAATGAGATGAATGAGGGGGACCACAATAGAAAAAAAGTTAACTGGTGCTGGACAACAATAACAACAACACAATTTGGGTGCTGAGCCACTGGTCTGGGGCTCCCAAAGCTTGGCCCGTGAGTGTCCGTGACACCCTATGCGCTACGTTGTCTCCTAGGTCGACTCAGCCTCAAATGAGTACCTGGTGGTGTGTACTAAGTCATCGCCACTGGGGAGACAACAAAGCTGTCAACCCATACGGTTTAGACCGTATTCTTGTAAAGGGAAATTGAGTTTTCAGGTAAATACGGCGTACAGCCATTTCAATACGGGCAAAAATAGAAATCTGTCTATTTGCTTGTGTTGCTCCCTTGTGATGAGACTTTGTAAGATTAACGTTGAGATTTAGAAGGGCACGGGGAGACCAATAAGGTCTGAATTGGTCTGTAATAAAGTAGGGCACTGATAAGGGGTTGACAGGTAAGAGACGAAGGCGGCCGGGCATGGTGATGGCTACCCACCTCCTCGTGTGCCATTCCAGCCTTCATGGTTGCTACTCGCTAACAGCGCTTGCCACAACAGTCTTGTTAAGGCTATACGGGGGGGTGGTGGTCTTTGTTTTTGTCGACGTTTGTCTGAGTTTTACTCTGACGCTCTGCCCACCCAGCGCTCGGCGTGCAGGACCTCGTGGCTCTGCCCAGGGGGCCCAGCGCCCTGCACGTTTCTTGGACGGAGCCCGCCCCGGGCGACGTCGTGATTGGCTACCGCGTGCTGTACGCGCTGCTCGACGCGGCCGGGCAGCCAATCGCCGGCGAGCAGGGAGAGGTGAGGTCTACGCACGGAGCGATGCGAATCATGCATCGCTGTCAACCCATGCGGTTTAGTCAGTATTGCTGTACAGGGAAATTGAGTCTTCAGGTCCATACGGCGTACAGCCGTTTCAATACGGGCAAATATAATATGGTAGGCACTGATAAGGGGTTGACAGGTATGCGAATGCATATGGAAAAAAATATTTTCTTTACTTTTTGCTGTATTTATCTCGATTGTGCTATCCGCTTCACTTTGCCAACCCGCACTGACCTTCCTGGTGAAGTACGGTCAAATATCCCTCATTGACTGCAGGGCATGAGGAGGCCCTCATCCAGCAGTGGAGTGGCAAACTGGCTGCACACGCGTTATCGGTGTCGCGTCATCACGAGACGGAGAATCCATTTGGAATTATCGCAAGGGCAGGGCGAGTCTTCGTTTTTGAGAACAGCCCGCGGAAGCGGATATCACAGAGCTACCCCTGAAATCCCTTCAAGTCACACTTATTCCACAGAGTAGTGAGCAGCGCTTTCCCCTCACTCTGCCAGGGAGAGTAATTTTCGTCGCATGAAAGCCTTCATCTTTAGAGATGGCATTTATCCAAATTAAGCGCTGAACCAAATTGAACATGATATTTTTATTGGGCTGAATCCAGCAACTCGCGACGCTAGAGAACCCGGCTTCGTCACAGATGGCTGCCTGGTTATGAACTTAGGAACTCAAGAAATCTGAGCCACCCAAACAGCACAATTGGAATATAGTTGGAAAAAATAATAATAGTTACTCTCACGATAATTGTGTGTGTGTGTGTGAGAAATGACGATTTACAATGTCTGAAAATGATATGGGGACGATAGAGTGTTACATTTCCGCAATGTGAGAGAACAAAACTGCGCAAGTATGATGAAGACAAGAAAAACTTTCACCCTTTCTGGCAATGAAACAGGAGGTGGTAAAATGTTCAAACACCAAATCGAAACCTTTTACAAGGAATCAAGCCTGCGTGAACCACACGTGCTTGTGGTGAACATGCAAACAAACGCCTATTGTTATTTTTGTCTTAATTTAATACTGGCAAAGAGGTCCCATTTTATAAACTGTACAAATGAGATGGAATAAAGACCGAATACATACGGAACGATAAAAAATAAAATCTATGAATACAAACTTGATCCTGAATCGTGGTGAATCATGACTTACCCCCAATCATCGTCATCGCTACTGCCGTTGTGTCTTTGTCCCAGGTGGCGGTCCGTGGCGGACAGACGACCGTGTCGTTATCTGACCTCCGAACTTCGAGCGATTACTCCGTTACCGTGGTGACGCAATACGAGGGTCACCAAGGGCAACCGATCACGGCGACCGCGCGCACCGGTAACGCAGAGCACAGCACGGCAACAACAGCCGCCGAGGTGGTAAATAACAATCAATAAATAAAGTGGTGAAGGTGAAGAGGTCATCTTGGCGACGGTTTCTGATGAAACCACACCGTTCTATTGCTTCCTTCATTCTGCCAGATCAGGCAACTGCTGCACATTAACAACAAATGTCTCACGGTTACAATTTCATCACTGCCACCATCTAGCTCGAAGTCTTTACCTTGCTACGCATTTGATATGTTAACTCTCTCAATCTTATCGCCACCACCATTTGGTTTGAGTTCTGGGTGCCCGTGTGGGTATCTTACCCTCCATCATCCTACACAACCTCCTCCTCCTGATTACATCAACAGCAATTGAGAGCTACATCCGATACAAGTGTTCTTCATTGGAAGGCCCGGGGCTACTGGTAGCCTTTAGTGTGGCCACCAATGATACAAAACTGTGAAAACACCCCATCATATTAAAAAAATAGGTTTTACCCTTTCTGGCAATAAACAGGTGTTAAGATATTCTTAGTTTTTTCGGTAAAGTCACGTTGAAGAGAAACAACAAAATAACAAAATATATATAAAACAATAAAAAATTCTCACGACGTTTCGACCATAACTCAAACGGTCATCATCACCTGATGATGATCATCATCACCTGATGATGATGACCGTTTGAGTTATGGTCGAAACGTCGTGAGAATTTTTTATTGTTTTATATATATTTTGTTATTTTGTTGTTTCTCTTCAACGTGACTTTACCGAAAAAACTAAGAATATGAATTACTGCAGTCACGAAAGCTTTAAATCAAAATTTAGGTGTTAAGATGTTAAAACACCAAACTGAAACCTTTTGTAAGGGATCGTGTTTGCATTAACCACAATGCTTGTGGTGAACATGCAGACAAAACAACATGCTCTGACAGTATGAGCATTGCCTGTGAAACTGATTGGTCCACACCAGATATAGCTTTCTTTAGAGCCTAGTCTCAAACAGCATTCGTCCAGAGGACGCCAAAGGCGAACAGCACAAAGACCATGCCACTATCAGGGCATTGAGAGCTCGGGGTGAGCAGCTACATCGTGGGACCTCCCTTGCTAGTATCAAAATATAAAAATAGGTTTTAGCCTAAGAATTGAGTTTTTCCCCTTTTTTCTGGCAACAAAACTGCATTAACCACAATATCTGCAGTCAAAATGCAAATAAAAAACATACTATGAGAATATATGCATTGTCCTTGAAACTGATTGGTCCACACCAAGGGACGGCTTTCTTTTGACCCTCGACCCAATTGGTGCTCGACCAGATGACGCCAAAAGGCGCATATGGAACAAAGATACATTTTAGTGGAACAAACATACACTTTGTGGTGACCTGGTTGTATTACAGTGAGGGAAAAAAGTATTTGATCCCCTGCTGATTTTGTACGTTTGCCCACTGACAAAGAAATGATCAGTCTATAATTTTAATGGTAGGTTTATTTGAACAGTGAGAGACAGAATAACAACAAAAAAATCCAGAAAAACGCATGTCAAAAATGTTATAAATTGATTTGCATTTTAATGAGGGAAATAAGTATTTGACCACCTCTCAATCAGAAAGATTTCTGGCTCCCAGGTGTCTTTTATACAGGTAACGAGCTAAGATTAGGAGCACACTCTTAAAGGGAGTGCTCCGAATATCAGCTTGTTACCTGTATAAAAGGCACCTGTCCACAGAAGCAATCAATCAATCAGATTCCAAACTCTCCACCATGGCCAAGACCAAAGAGCTCTCCAAGGATGTCAGGGACAAGATTGTAGACCTACACAAGGCTGGAATGGGCTACAAGACCATTGCCAAGCAGCGTGGTGAGAAGGTGACAACAGTTGGTGCGATTATTCGCAAATGGAAGAAACACAAAAGAACTGTCAATCTCCCTCGGCCTGGGGCTTCATGCAAGATCTCACCTCGTGGAGTTGCAATGAGCATGAGAACGGTGAGGAAGCAGCCCAGAACTACACGGGAGGATCTTGTCAATGATCTCAAGGCAGCTGGGACCATAGTCACCAAGAAAACAATTGGTAACACACTACGCTGTGAAGGACTGAAATCCTGCAGCGCCCACGAGGTCCCCCTGCTCAAGAAAGCACATATACATGCCCGTCTGAAGTTTGCCAATGAACATCTGAATGATTCAGAGGACAACTGGGTGAAAGTGTTGTGGTCAGATGAGACCAAAATGGAGCTCTTTGGCATCAACTCAACTCGCCGTGTTTGGAGGAGGAGGTATGCTGCCTATGACCCCAAGAACACCATCCCCACCGTCAAACATGGAGGTGGAAACATTATGCTTTGGGGATGTTTTTCTGCTAAGGGGACAGAACAACTTCACCGCATCAAAGGGACGATGGACGGGGCCATGTACCGTCAAATCTTGGGTGAGAACCTCCTTCCCTCAGCCAAGGCAACAAAGGAGTGGCTCAAGAAGAAGCACATTAAGGTCCTGGAGTGGCCTAGCCAGTCTCCAGACCTAAATCCCATAGAAAATCTGTGGAGGGAGCTGAAGGTTCGAGTTGCCAAACGTCAGCCTCGAAACCTTAATGACTTGGAGAAGATCTGAAAAGAGGAGTGGGACAAAATCCCTCCTGAGATGTGTGCAAACCTGGTGACCAACTACAAGAAACGTCTGACCTCTGTGATTGCCAACAGGGGTTTTGGCACCAAGTACTAAGTCATGTTTTGCAGAAGGGTCAAATACTTATTTCCCTCATTAAAATGCAAATCAATTTATAACATTTTTGACATGCGTTTTTCTGGATTTTTTTGTTGTTATTCTGTCTCTCACTGTTCAAATAAACCTACCATTAAAGTTATAGACTGATCATTTCTTTGTCAGTGGGCAAACGTACAAAATCAACAGGGGATCAAATATTTTTTTTTCCCTCACTGTACATGAACGCTGAACAAACTAAAGACACGAACGCAATGACAAGGAATTAAAAGCGCACGCTTTTAATACAGGCACTGGCACAAATAAATATATCCTAATTCAAGTTCGCGTGTTGGACGGTGGCCAATGTGTGTATGTATGTGCACGCGCGTGTCTGGGTGTGTGTGCGTGGGAGTGTGGGTATGGAGCCTTCGCTCGGAGGTTCGGAGAGCCGTGAGGCGCTGCACGGATGGGTGGTGGTCGCGGGTTGCTGAGGAGATGGAGTCTGCCTCAATGGCCCGCGATCACAAATCTCTATTTAACTTCATCAATAAAGTAACCTGCAGCGCCACACCTATTACCATCATTAGGGGAAAAAAGGTGATCCAATCTCCGACCCCCAGGAACAGGTTTGCAGAAATGCTGAGCATTTCTGTGAGGTCCTGGGGGAGGGAAAATCCCTCGGCCAGGAAAACATCGTGGTACAATGTGAGGATGACCCTGCTGAGGCTGCGGTGCCTCAAATATTGGAAGAAGTCACCCCCTGTGAGTGGCTGGCTGAGGTGCCATCTGTTGAGGAAGTACTGAAGGCGATCCGGAGTCTGAGACCAGGAAAGGCAGCGGGCAGAGATGATCTCCCAAGCGAAATGCTGAGGGAGGGTGGCGCTTATGCACAGACTGCCCTATATGAAATCATAACAACAGTCTGGACAACTGGACGGGTTCTGCAGGATTGGAATGATGCCCTAGTGGTCCCCCTCTTTAAGAAGGGGGACCGCACAGACTGTAACAACTAGAGGGGCATCTCACTCCTCAGTGTGCCGGGAAAGGTCCTGGCAAGGACTATTCAACATCGCCTTGCCAGGCACGCTGAGGAGAGGCTTGCGGAGCCACAATGCGGTTTCATGAAATGGCGGTCCTGCCCAGATGCCATATTTTCTGTCCGTCTGCTACAGCAGAGGTGTAGGGAATTCCAGCAAAACCTACATCTCTGCTTTATTGACCTGGTCAAGGCCTATGATACAATCAATAGGCCTGGCCTCTGGGTTGTTCTTCGTGCTTTTGGAGTCCCTGACCCTCTGCTCACGATCATTAAGGACCTTCATAATGGTGAGCGGGCCCGGGTAAAACTACGTGGCCGGGAGTCAGAGCCATTCCCTGTACACCTTGGGGTGCGACAGGGATGTCCTCTGGCTCCCACATTATTTAACATCTATTTTGACCATGTAGTTCGTGAAGCCTTCAATAGCTGTACCGGGGGAATCTCCATATGGTACAGATATAATGGGAGGCTGAACGATGCCCGGGTGCGGTCAAGGGATGGCTCCCTATTGCTCAACCACGTTATGCATGCCGATGATTTGGTAATAGCTGCTCATTCAGAGGAGGAGTTGGAGATGGTGCTGCTGAGACTGGAGCGTGCCACTAAGAGATGGGGCCTTACCATCAGCCCCACCAAAACTAAGCACCTGCCTGGGTATTTTGTACCATCGGACACTCCACACCCACAACTCCCAATCGGTGATGGGGCAGTTGTGGAGAGAGTGGAGAGTTTCCCATACCTGGGCAGTGTGCTTATGACCGGTTCCAGTTTAACAGCAGAGGTCTCACTCCAAATCAGTCGAGCGGCAATATCTTTTCATCGGTTGCATAACGCTGTGTGGAAGCTACCTGGTCTATCTCTCCGCACTAAGCTTCAGGTCTTCTCGGCCACGGTCATTCCATCCCTTCTCTACGCTTGCGAAACGTGGACCCCCCTAATGGAACATCTTCGCTGGTTAGAAACATTTAGGCTAGCCTGCCTACGATCCATCTTGGGTTTAACCAGGCTGGATTGTGTGAGGAGCTCACAAATCCTTGAAAGAGCTGGGCAAGGTCCCATCAGTGAGCTCCTCCGACAGGCAAGGCTGCATTGCCTGGATCATGTAGCCCGCATGCCCAGCCACCGCATGCCGAAACAGCTTTTGTTCGTCCGGATCGAGGGGGTTAAACGGGCGCGGCACGGGCTAGAGAAGAGATGGAGTGATGTAGTACAGGAGGACGTGGAGCTGAGTGGACATGCCGATGACTGGTACCAGCTGTGTCAAGATTGGCCTCTGTGGAGGAGGCTCATGAAGGATGCTACTGGGCAGTTTAGAGGCAGTCGCCCTCCAACAACAACGGAGGGCGGAGGAGCGACGCTCCCAACAACGAACGGAGCGCCGGGTGGCTTAAGCACAGCAGGTTGGCACAGTAAGGGGCACAGGTGGTGCATCAGCCAGTCATCTCAGTCAGTCGACCCGTGGCACCTGGGTCTGCCCCGTGACCTCCTGCCAGCGGGCGTTCGACACTTCACGTGGCCTCAAGGTGCACATGGCCTGGCACAAGCGTCGTGGTGATGTCACCGCCACTTAGTGGCGAATGGCGGTTGTTATGTATGGAGCGGTAGTGTAGCGGTTAGCGCGCTGCGCTACGAACCTGGCGACCCGAGTTCGATTCCCGTTCACGGCCAACACCAGTGACGATTACGTGAACTGGTCCTGGGCCTCCCCTAGGTCGACTCAGCCTCAAATGAGTACCTGGTACGATGTGTAAACATCGCCGCTAGGAAAACAAAGGTGGCCAGTCGTGTTGTGGCCCACCCACCCTCTCGTGTGCCTTGCCGGCCTTTATAGGTGCTCGCGAACACAGTCTGTTAAGGCTATGCGAAGGATCTTTGTCTTTGTGTGTGTGTGGGTGTATGCGGTTTGTGCGGTAAAGCATGTCTCCGTTTGGCATAGTCCACACTGGTCTGCGTCAATAATTACATTCATTTATTATCAGCATGGAATGTTAAGAATATGTGCGGCAAGAGGCGCCCTCGGCTTGCTTATTGACGCCGCAATGATCATCATCGTGGCCAGTGCCGGATTATCCCAGGAGCAAAAGTAGCTACATAATTTATGCTACAGGCCCCGCACTTTCAAGGGCCCCTCGCTAAATGCCTTCAAGCTATCAATTCCGGTTCGGTGATTCTGCACTTGCTCTATTACTATACTACTATACCACCTTCAACTTTTCTGAACGCCTAGTTGTTTAAGGTTAGCGATTTGTCGCATTATTTGGCTGTATAGAAATTTAAAAAATTACAATTACTTTACAAGTAAAACATTTGTCTTTTCATATTTACGGTTTTTTTTGTTAATTTAGGGCCCCTTTACAACATATGCTACAGGCCCCGCACTCGCTTCACCCGGCACTGATCGTGTCGACCGCCCTGGCCGCATCGAAAAGTCCAGACACCGAACGTTTCGCACTGTTGGCAGTTAATGACAGGATAATGAGATGGCTCTCTGCCCATCTATTTGAGGAGGGGTCGTAATGGCCGTGCCACACAGCACTCAACCAGCACCGCTGAGGTCTCGCCCCAGAAACGTGGCCGCTGCCTAATGAATTATAATCAAACCTGCAGCACAGAATACTCCACGCCAAACCACTCGAGTGTAATCCCGGCCACCTTGTTCGCGCCCCACGTGTGTGTGTGTACATACACAGGCGTGCAAGGGGGAAGACTTTGCCTTTGTGCCTCTTTGCAGGAGACCTATCGGTGCAGACACGCCTAAGGGTGCTCGACGAAGGCCTCTACTCGCTGAGGGTGACGTGGGACCCTCCCGCGTCTCCCGTGCAGGGATATCGCCTGACGAACTCGCCGCGCGGTAAGACCTCGAACGCACGCGACGTGACGCGGGCTACGTGAACGTCTCCCCGTGAGAGCCTTGGAGCTGTCAGCGCGCAAGCGGCATCCTACGAAGGGCGGCGCGGCACACGAGGGGTGAGGGCGGGGGGGGGCAGCACCATGCCCGGCCCACCTTTGCCTCCGGAGCGGTGGTGATTGTTTAACGCATCGCTACCGGGAACTCAATTAAGGCTGAGTTGACCCGGGGGAGGCACAGGGCCGCTTCAGATATTCCGTCACTGTTCTCGGCCGCGAGTGGGAATCGAGCTCAGGTCGCCGCGGTGGTCTTGCCGGCAAGGCTGCTGGCTCCTGCCTTAGGAATGGTGAATTTCCATCACTTGGTGCAGTGTCGCCAAGGGACATGAGCATCGCCCACCGCTCGTGGGTTTTTGCAAGATCGCTTTTCGTTGCTTCGCACGCGGCACCCCACGTGCCCGCACCGAGTCTCACTTGCGCGTCCACAACAGACTCGCGGTTGGGACCCCCGCAAGAGATGAAGCTGGCGCCTGGAGCGACGTCCCACCTGCTGGACGATCTTCGGCCGGACACGGAATACGTGGTCTCCTTGTATGCGCTCGCCACGTCGGGCAACCCCGAGGGAGCGCTCACGGCATCCGGCAGGACCCGTAAGTCGTCGCGGCGCTCGGGGGCGGCCGCCCGGTCCGTGGGGCGCAGAGCGGCCGTGTCGCACGACGCTGAACCCGCCAATGCAAACGACCGCTGCTTTTAACTCGAAATGACAAAGGCTAAACTGATTTTTTTTTATTCCGCCATGTAATTCCCGCTGAGCTTACCCGAGCGAGCGCGACGGTGGTGAGATATACCCACGCTCCTATGGATGGGCGGGTATATGGGCAAGTGTTTACGTAGGTATACAAACGTGCGTGTTAATGCACGCGGACAAATGGGAGTCGGCAGCAGACAGGGCTTAGCAACAACTCGCGTTTGGTGTGCTTGATGCAGACGTCATGGAAGCGAGAGAGAGGCAGATACTCGTCTGCTGTAGGGAGATGTTAACTACCTCGCCTGGTATACAGGAGTTCATGGGTTCGATCCCGACCCTGACACCTGCTGTATATTTGGAGTTTGCGTGTCTCTCTCTCCATCGTGGTCGCGTGGATTTTTCTCGGGGTCTTTTTTTTCTGTCCACATTTAGAAACATGCGCTTTAGAGCATGTGACGGCAATAAATTTGACAAGTCAAAAAATAGAGCTATGTAGCTCAGTGGGCCTTACCTGGTAAAATAAAAATAGTATTAACTAGTTAATAGAGCTATATATCTATTTTTCAGAAGCGACCTGGCCACAAATGACAGCTCAACGAAGTGGGTTGTCATCACGTGGACATTTATATCAGCCAAATACTCCAAGCGTGATGTTGATTCTAAATGTGGAAGTAAAAAACTGAATACCTGGAGAAAAGCCACATGACCACAGAGAGATAGAGACATGCAAACTCCAAATATACAGCAGGCGTCAGGGTCGGGATCGAACCCATGACCTCCTGTATAAATGGTATCCCTTTCTCTCATAAACCTCTGCTTTATTGTGTTCCACAAGGGCAAACTCACGTCAAGTTTTGGTACAAAACACAATTTCTATGCAGATGATACACAGATTTATATCAGTTTCAGTCAATCTGATATGAATCCAACTTCCACTCCATCTTCCTGTCTGACTGCAGTTGCTAACTGGCTGGCGGCGAATTTGCTTTAAATTAATAACGCTGAAACTGAAGTTCTCATAGTTGGAAAAAAAATCATTTGTCTCTAAGCATCGTCAATCCACTGCACGCCTGCTTGACTGATTTCCATATCAGTCAACAGGCAGTCAATCTTGGTTTTATTCTGAACTCTAACCTCTCTTTTACTTCTCACATTTCCTTTATGTGCAAGTCTGCTTATTTTCATCTCCGTAAAATTGTTTTTTATCGTATCCGTAACTGTCTCTCCGATATGGCAGCAAAAACAATCATTCATGCATTTGTTACCTCCAGGCTAGACTATTACAATTCTCTATGATATGGTCTTCCCTTGTCTCTCATCCAAAATGTACATTATGTGAAAAATGCAGCTGCAAGTAAACACACTCGTACCCGTAGGCGTTATTATATGACACCCTTTTAACGATCGCTCCACTGACTACCAAATCAGTCTCGAGCCACTTTCAAGATTGCACTTTTCCTGTTTTGCCCATTTTTCATTGGCTAGCCCCCTGCCTATTTTTCATTGGCTAGCCCCCTGCCCATTTTTAATTGGATAGCCCCCTGCCCATTTTTCATTGGCTAGCCCCCTGCCCATTTTTCACCTCTCATTTCAGTTTGTTCCCCACCTCGGGTTCTCCGCTCTTCTTCACTCGAGGTTTGCTGTCCACCCCAAAAATTAAACACACACCAATTTGTGGACGAGCGTTCCCATGTGCAGCCCCCACAGTCTGGAGCACTCTCCCGCTACACATACAACAAATCAAATCAATGAACTTATTAAAATCTGAACGCAAGGCCTATTTATTTGTCCAGGCATGTGCTGGAAAATAGGAATCTCTGTTATGATCCGACTGGCTCGTAACTTTGTGGCCACTCCACCACCCCTCGTTTGAGGGTTCTCCAAAATCTGGTGAAATGTTGGGATTGTTGTCTGGGGTATGGAGACCGAACTGATTTATTTATTTATTTTCTCCGTGGTGATATTTTCTTGTTACGTGTATTTTTTTCTCGTTATTTATGTATTAATTTTATTGTTTTTGATTTGCTTAGTAGTGGGGTTTTTGTTTTTGTGTCATCTGTGTAAGGAACTGGCTAATTGATGTGCAGCGTTGCGGGATGCAATTGCACGAACGGCGCTCTATAAAATGTAATTATTTTTACCAAGTGAGGCAGTTAACATCTCGCTACCATGGGCAGGTCTCTCTCTCTCCATCTCTCTCTCTCTCCGGGTGGTTCACATTTGTATCAAGCACATCAAAAGCGATTTGTTGCTAAGTCCCGTGCACTGCCTTGTCTCATATGTACCTTCGTCACCACTCTGCACAGAGCATAGCCTTGCTCCACATCGTATGGATTAGAGGCCCTTCGGAATAGCATGCCATTGTGCGCCATAGCCACATTACAATTTAAATGTCTTGCAAATCAGAAGGGCATGAGGTCAAACCACAGCCAGCGGTCACCTCATGCCCACAACCCTCCCTGACACTTTTTTATTGGGTTCAATTGTGAACAACAGCCATATCAGACACTCGTACATCTAATCGGCATAATCATTGGTTCACTGCAGCTCAAAAACTGACTCCTACAAGACGTGCGGTGAGGTTAGGAGAAGTCCATGTGCTCGGCATTTGAAGGCCTGGAGACCAGAATCGGTGATTTCACCGACAAGGTGTACAGGGAGGCAGTTCCATACCCGGACGGTACGCATTGACGTGTACGTTCCTGTATCTACGTAACCACTTGCCCATTCTATTCTATTATTTCGGATTCAGCTCCGTGAAATTTCCACCTCTGGCTGTCGAGGGCCACCGATGTGGATGACCACGGGCGCCCCCATGCCTTGCCCTGCGTCGCCCCTTCACGGCGGTCATCTTTTGAACGTTCCGCGAAAACTTTTGCTTCTCTCCTCTCTCTCGTCGTCCTTTTTTGTCCCTCAGTGAGGCTGGAGGGCGTGAGGCGGCTGCTGCTGCAGAACGTGACGACCAACTCGATGAGGGCCTTGTGGGAGCCGCTGCGGGGGGCCACCGGGTACCGGCTCACCTGGGGAGCCACCGAGGGTACGGACGTAGAGGGAGAAACCGCGGCCGTGGGCTGGGAGTGGGGCTGGGATCGGTGAACCGGGATAAGTGAATCGAGATCGGTGAACCGGGAACGTGAACGGTTCACCGGAAGAAAAAAAAGGGTCTGTGACAGGCGCAGCCTTAGGGAGCAGCGAGGGAGCCTTTGTACGACCCGTGGGCTCATGAAACGGGGAGCTAGCGTTGCCCGGGACGCTTTCTTTCTCAAGCCGACGGCCTGTGTCTGCACATATCTACCGACCTACTCGCCTACCTGCCTAGCCACCTTGATACCTACATCACTAGCCATGCACCCATTCACCCACCTGTCTACCTGCCTACCTGCCCATTCAAACACCCACCCAATCTACATACCTATGCATTAACGTACCCATTCGCCCAACTGCCTACCCTACCCACTGACCTTCTTCGTTAAGAAACTCAAAACATTCATAAAGAACACTGCCTTAAGAGGAAGACATACAGAAGATAGGTGCCATTTTTTGGAAAATGGCACCTATCTTCACAGCACGTGAATCACGTGACAGAGAACGTTATTAATTAACGCACGCTACCAGCCATGACGTGCGGATGCTGTACTTGGAAATTGGCGACAGAAAACAACGGAACAAAAGCTGAAAATTTCCCCAGGAACGGCAACGAGAGGCTGGAGGGGGAACACGTGGATTACAGAATGGACGCAAGTCGGAGACGCTAGCGTCAACTTTGAAATGTTCGCGGGTGCTCGAGGGAGAGCGTGCACCTGGGAGGCGCCGTCCACCGAGGAGATGGAGCAGTAAGATCCGCGAGGATCAGCTCGTCAACAACGTACGAACCTCGGCCGTCACGCTGCATACGAGCTGTGCGGACGTGCCAACGCAAGTCCTCGCACGCGCGTGTGCTGATCGTGGACTTGTGCGCTCACGCACCCCTCCATTGGACATATTCCTGAGATCAAAGGCAGCTATGGTTTAGGGATGGGGGTGGGGGTGGGCAGGGGGGGGGGGGGCTTCTGCGTCTCAGGTTTTTTTGCTGATCAGCCCTTGACAAATCGTTCTCTAACATCGTAATCCCAGCCTCCACGACCTTGACAGCTGTTCCCTCTCGTGAGACACGAGCGCTGCGTTTCATCGGCGGTGGCAGGGGAGTGGTGGGGGAGCGGGCGTAATGGGCAGATGTTTTCTCTTCTCTCCCTGCGCCCATTTGCTCCGCCTATTTGGGCCCTCTGCTGTGCCACGCAAGCGCGTGTGCCCGCGGCGTTATTTCCTGCCACCGCCCCCCACCCCCTCCCACAGATTTGGCGTTGACCGTCCCAGGTGGCTCGGCGGTGTAGCGAGCTGCTCGGCATGGGATGAAATGTAAAGAGCCAAACGTAAGCAGTGGAGATGTGCTGCTGTCGCCGACTCGGTCGAGAGGGTTGATGGAAGAAGAAAAAAACCCCATCGGCATCAACAGCAACAGCAAACGGCACAACACGAATGCCATCCGGCGCACGAGCAGCAACTCTCCCCAACAGTGTGGCCGATGCTTCCGCTCAAGGGGCTGGTGGCTCTCATCCCACCGGTGGGCAGGGAAAATGCTGCTGCTCGCTGCTCGCTGTTCTCTGCAGTGAATCGTTGTTCGCGATGGACAGCCGAAAAAAAATAAGTCGAGTCGGTAGAGTGAGCCGCCAGCAATCGGGAGGTTTGCGAGTTCCAATCCCGGTTGAGGGCTGACTCGGCCCATCAAACCCAAAAGAGTTGAAAGAAATTAGTACCTTAAAACATTGGTTTTTCGTAGCCAATACTATGATGCTTATTAACTTTTTGGGTTATGACCTAACCCAAAATTAATTATCGATCAAAACGAGTACCACAGTTGCCGACTGCTGTCCAGCAGCGGCAACTGCGGTGGACAGTTAGCGCACACGCTGCCGTCGAGCACATACACACGGCGTGTTTGTCAGCAGGGCGGAGGCACTGGGGCAAGGATCACAGAGACCCTGTCTGGAAGACCCTGGAACCCGCTCGTGGGTTGGAGAAGGGAGGCGCGGCCAGGGCGGAGCCAGGCCGCGCCGAGTCGGATAAAAGCAGCGGAGAGCGAGAGCTCGTGGTTGCAGGTTCTGGGAAGTGGAGTCGTCTCGTTGGCACTGTCTTTGCCGACTTGGTCGCTGCCGTCTTCACTAGATAATTGGGCGGCCGGATAGTTGTTGGCTGTCTCGGTCGATGCCGTCAGTGTAACATGGTGAGGGTTGTGTCTAAGCTAGGCTATTTGACTTGGGAGAAGCGAGGGCGAACCTGTTCACCTGAAGGTGTTGAATAAAGAAGGTGCCTCTTCAAGAATCCCGTCTCCCGCTCCGTCGACACTACACATGTATCTACGTTGAGTTTCTTTCGCACCGTACATAGCCAACCATGCCCAAACCAGCGGAGAGACCCGTCCTCAATAATAGTAAGGTGGTAAAGTCTCCGACTGGCTCCAAGCCCTAAGCAGGAGATGATCGCCAGCGCCTCAATGCTCGCCGCAGCAGGATATCGCATCGCTCCACTTTGACGACACCGGTATGGACAGCGCGTTGCGTTGTTACGCCTCTGCAGGCCTCTACACGCTTGATCGTTTGTGCTGCGTTGGTCGCATGTCGACTGTAAGTTGCACGCTGTTGGCATGTTCATTGCGCACTGGTCGTGCGTATGCACGTGGAACTTCTTTCGCGCCATACGTAGCCAACCGTGCTAATCGGAGGTTGCGCGGGAAGGACAACAAACTAAACACAAGAAGCAGTTGTAAAGAAATTAGTTTTCAGTTGTATGTCAATGGCATGTTGATAGCGTGCCGATAGCATGGTCGTTGCATATCAGTAACATATAGGTACCATATTAGTTGTATGGCATTAGCACATTGGTAGGATGTTGTTTACGTGTCAGTAGCATGGTGTTAGTATGTCGGTATCACATTGGGCACAATGTTATTAGCATGTTGTTTTGTATGCGACGACGATATTGCGAGCAAGCTGTTTGTATGCCGGAATCATTTTGGCGCGGCGTGTTGTTTACATGTCGCGAGCGTTTTGTCGTATTGGCAGCATGCATCGTCACCGAGTCCTTCTACCCCCGTGTCGCTCTCTTGCTCTGCTCTGCTGCTGCTGCTGTGAGCAGGAGGGGATAGGCAGAGCGTGACCGTCGATGGCTCCTACTCCACCTTCCTCTTGCCGGGCATGAGCACCGGCAGTGAATACCAAGTGTCCATCAACCCCGTGTACGGCAGCGTGGAGGGGCCCGTGGTGACGGCGAGCGCAACCACGCGTGAGTGACCTCGCGCAGCCGCCACGCGCATCAAAAGACAAAGGTTGTCCCCCGCCCGTATAGCCTTCACAGACTGTTGGGGCAAGTGCTTTTCGCGAGGAGCACCGACTGAGGTCGGCACTGCACACGAGGGGATGGGTAGCCAGCTCCACGGCCGGATACACACACACACACACCCCTATCGACACACACACACGAAGAAGACACGTTCAATTTGCTCGTAATACAGACCCAAATACAACAACAACCGCCATTCGCCACTAAGTGGCAGTGACGTCACCACGGCGCTTGTGCCAGGCTACGTGCACGTTGAGGCCACGTGAAGTATCGAATGCCCATCGGCAGGTCACGGGGCAGACCCAGCAGGTACCACGGGTCGACTGACTGGATGGTTGTGAAGGGCTGGTAACCCCTCCACCTTCAATCAATTACCACTAAACCACAAAAAATAAATATCCAGACCAAAATACACATACATACAAGCACACCCGTTAAAAAAATACTTTCATATACAAAGATTCCCTCCAATAGCCTTAACACACTGTTGGGGAAAGTGGTATTCACGAGTACCACCTACGAAGGCCGGAATGATACACGAGGCTGAGTCGACCTAGAGGAGGACCAGACCATGCAATCGCGACCTGTATTGTTGGCCGTGAGGTGGGAATCGAAGTCGGGTCGCCGGGTTCGTAGCACAGCGCGCTAACCACTGCGCCACGTGTCCAGGCACGCACTTGTCATGCACACGTGTGCACTCGACGCATGGTACTTTCACGATGCGGAGGACTGTAAGCACTGCGCACAATGCCTGCATAGAATCATACATGGAGACGTAATGATTGATCGTCATCATACGTGATGTCATGCGCGCACACACGCACACCCACACGCACGCACGCACACATGGCCGGCAAGCACACGGCGCGATGCATTCTTCATTAATGAAAAGCATGGCTGGCCCCCCGAGCACATGGTCCCTGGTCCCTGCACCGACGCTGCCGGCACGCACACGTTGCGCTCCGCACAAGTTGAGCGTGGGACACGCGCTGACGCACGCTCGCTCGCGTCTGTGATCGCGAGAGTGCGTGCGTGCACACGTGCGTGACCGGCGATGCCCACCCACGGTACGTGCACCTACGCACGGGGGCGCCGCAGCGGCGAGATGTTAACTACCTCGCTTCATATACGGAAGGTCGTGGGTTCGATTGGAGTTTGCGTGTCTCTCTCTCCCCGTGGTCGCCGTGGATTTTTCTCCGGGTCCTTCGGTATTTCCCCTCCACATTTTGAAAAGTTTCGAGCATTTGGCTGCCGTGGGGGAGGGGCGCAGGGGGGATCGGGGTCCCTAGGCCTAGACGTTTAACATGACTCAAAACAATTAATGCGTTTGCCGAGTTTCATGAGTGCTGGGCGCCTGTGTGGTGTTGTGTACGTACGTACGTTCAACTCTTTTTTCACCGTACGCAGTGCCAGATTAAGCTAGTGCGGAGCCTATAGCATATGTCATTAAGGGGCCCGAAATAAAAAAAAATAACACTTAAATATTAAACACACGCATTTTTTACTTGCATAGTAAAGTAATTGGATTTTTTCATTTGCTATACAGCCAGATAATACGACAAATCGCTCACCTTAAACACCCAGTCGTTCATAAAAGTTGAAGGCGGTGTAGTACTATAGTAGAGCAAGTGCAGAATCACTGAACCGGAACTGATAGCTTGAAAGCATTTAACACGAGGCCCTTGAAAGTGTGGGGGCCCGTAGCAACACATGTAGCTACTTTTGCTACTGAAATAATCCGGCACTGCACACGTGGCATTACTGTAGAGAAAATCCATCCCCCCTGTTTCGCACGAGTCACTTCACACACACCACACAGATTGGACCCGGTCAAACATTACTCGGGGCGGTGGAGTAAAATCATCTGCACTTTATTACTCGTCACATCGCAATTCGTTTGGTCTCAACGTTAAGAATCTAGGAGGCATGTCACCAGCAGACAGGGATACAGGTCACACATTGATTTCATCTGATCAAAGAACGTATTCCCACGGCTGTGTGCGAATCTTTTGAGCAGCATTGCAGGATTTTTTTACGGAATTTATTTATTTAGTAAAAATGAACTGCGGAATTAACAACCCTTTGTGCCGTTGCCGACATATCCTTGTTGGTGTGCTCTCGAGAGCTCGGCATTTTCTTCTCACGGTTGCCCAAGCCCAACAGCGTGATTCCATTCTCTCAGTGGAACACGATCCCTCGAACGGGGATCGTGGGATCAAAGGCCCGCTTCCCATCTGTCCTCATTGTCCCAGGATCAAACCTCTTGTTGACGCTGCTGTCCTGGGGATTCTGGTGGTGATGTATGTTAACTCCCCTCGCACCGTACGTAGCCAACCGTGCTCTTCGGAGGTGCATGCTGTGGTTGATGGTGGTGATGGCGGTGATGATGGTGATGGCAGTGATGTATGTTGAACTCCCTTGGCAACGTACGTAGCCAACCGTGCTCTTCGGAGATGTATGGTGTGGTGGTGATGGTGGTAGTGACATGGCGAGGCACCCCGTGTAAAGGTGGCTCCAGTAAGCCGGGTCTCTCCGTGAGCCCCACCCAAATGATCGAGAGGGACGGCGGCGAGAGACGGCGCCTCCTCCTCCTCGGTAGCTCAGCTCGGGACGGTGCGCTCCGAGTTACTCAACTACGAGGATCCTGGTTCCGGGTTGGCCCCCTTACAGAATCTAGAACCATCGTGTCCCCCCTCCTCCCCCGTTAGAGAGAGAGGCACAAGACGCCTCTCTCTCAGGGCCTCCACTGGAAGGACCTCAAGAGACCTACACCTCGACTAAGAAACGCAAACCGCATTAATCCGACTGCCACTGCCGGGAGAGATCGAACTGGCGATGCTCTAAGTTGCGAGTCGAGTGTGGTACCCATCATACCACGGCAGTAGGGCTGAATGATTAATCGATTTCAAATCGAAATCGCAATTTGAAACAATGCGATTAGCAAATTGCAAGAGCTGCGATTTATTGCGATTTGAAAAGTCCTATTACTTATTGGAGTTATTAAATTTATTATTATTATAACTTTATTTATTTAACTTAACAATTGTTCTATGTTTGATTGTTCTATTTCGATTAAACCATTTTAATAAAAACATGTTGGAAGCAATTCATTAATTTTAAGTTCTCATCCTTGCATTAGAATATATAGAGCAGTTCATATATTGATGGTATCATGTGGTAATGCTCCATCACGTGTTTTAAATCTATTACACAGTAAATATTGAATTGAAGCTTGACTTAATTTTTTTTATCGCAATTGCAACATCTATCAGAAAAATCGCAATTAAAGATTTTCCCCAAATCGTTCAGCCCGACACGGCATCATCTCCGGCAGGAGTCAAAAAGCTGTCTCCCTGGTCAGGCAAGCGTGGGGAGGAGGACCTCAACTGACCATCCTGGCCCAGGTGGTGTCAATTCTACACAAATACGGCGGATGGCAGTCTAGCCTTAGGACGAGCCTAACCTAATCCCCGCGATTAACAACGTCGTGTTTTTTTATCACCCCCCCACCCCCTCCTATAATCGCAGTGGCACACTGCGTGTTTGGGTTTCACGAATCACAAACACAAATTCGCCGCAAATTGTCCACGAACCGGTTGTGCATGAGGCCTCGTCCCGGACCATGGCGACCAGACGCTGGCTCTGGCTGTTTTCTCCCCGCCGGTTTTTTACACCTCGTGCTGAGCAGCCATCCGCACACGTGCCCTCCACGTGCCCGCGCTCTGGACGGGAGGCCCAATGTCGAGATATACTGTATGTTCATTCATACAGTGGTCGCCGATACCCCCAAAGCAGAGGCCACTGAGACACCGCCAGAGCTGCGCGCTTTGAAATCCACATTGGGAACGGATTTCTTTGAGGACCGCTTTTTTGTGCTTGGTTTGTTGCGCCCTTCCTCGCGGCACCTCTGATGTAGTACGGCTGGATTATACGTACGGCACGAAAGAAGTTCAACGTACATACGTTCGTACAAAACACCACTCCAGTGCCCAGCACTCGGGGAACTTTGGAAAAATGTGTGGGCCTAGGGGCTTCGCTCCCCCACCTCGCCCCTTCCCCACACCGCTGGATGAAAGCCCAATATCGAGATGTGTTTTTTCCCCCCCAAACTTTTCTTTCGTTAATTAGCAGCTTTATTTTATTGTTCGACTGCCGTCCATACGCATTGGCGATGTCACCGCGTGACGTGAAGACGATTTGCATTCGGCGATAAACAAAACAAAATTTGAGATCGCGTGGGGAGGGGGGGTCAGGAGGATCTGGACGGGCCGTCGGCGTCACGAGACCCGTGGGACGAGATGGCGATAGCTCTAGGGCAGACTTTCGCCCAGCGGCAAATAGATCGTAGCGAGCGACACGATGATGATGACGACGACGTTGATGATGATGATGTGTTTATTGCTTTTGTGTGTGTGGGGGGGGGGGCAGTGTCGTCAGGCGTGGTGCAGGACCTGCGCGTAACCAGAGTCACCTCGAGCTCTCTGCGCCTGGCGTGGACGTCTCTGCCCGGTGCCACGGGCTACAGCCTCATTTGGGGGCCCACCAACGGTGGGTCGGCCGTCAGAGCGAGGGCAAAATGTCAAAGGTCAAACCACGTGCGCGCGTGGGGGTCAAGGTCGACATCGAAAGGTCACCCATCAAAGGGAAATATGGCGTCCCCGTAAAACGAATACGGCAGCAGCTGCAGCGGCAGCAGCAACAAGGCGCGATGTGAATTTGCTTCGCGTCTGAATGCAATCGCATCTCAAGGCACTCAACAGCAACAAAATAAATGTGGGATGCAGTTGTTGGTTTTGGGGGGGGGGGGGTTAGGACGTGTTGACGACGTGATTGCAGGAGGCCAGGCTGTTGACGATGACGAGTGATCACGAGTAACGATGTGAATGCAGGAGGCCAGGCTGGCCGGCGCCGCTCCCAGCAAGTGGTACTGCCCGGCACGGCCTCCAGCCACGAGCTGCTGGGCCTCTCTCGCGACACGGAGTACGTGCTCACCCTGCATGCCACCTTTGGCGAGACCCAAGGGCCCGGCTCCCCCACCACGGCCCGCACCGGTGAGCTCAGCCCCTTACTCCACCCCACTGCCTGTAGCCTCGGCGTCGTCCATCCGCTCACTGGGTGACTGCCGTGGTGAGATGTTAACTACCTCGCCTGGTGTGCAGGAGGTCGTGGGTTCGATCCCGACCCTGACATTTGCTATATAATCGGAGTTTCCGTGTCTCTCTCTCTCCGCGTGGTCATGTGGATTTTTCTATGGGTCCTCCGGTTTTTCCCACCGCACCTCCAATCAGCGTGGTTGGCTACGTATGGTGCGAAAGAAGTTCAACATACACATAGAGTATCTGGCTGCTATAAATTTCCACGTGATAAGCCACATCGTTGAGCTATCATTTGTGGACAGGCCGCTTCTGCAAAAAAAGAGCGATAGAGCTCAGTGGGCCTCACCTGTTAAAATAATTTTAAAAAATAGTTTCGTTTAGTTCAATTGAACGAGGGCCCTCTTTGTGCCATAGCCTGCGACGGTTGCTATGGGAAGTGTCTGACCCTGACAGAGAAATGTGGAATTTGTTCAACCACTAGCTCAGGAGCTGCTAAATGCAGATGAGTGCCAACTCGTGCTCTTTTCTTGTTGAGTAACGATGACAAACATTTATAGAACGTTGAAAATTGAAATCCCAGTTTGGCAGTCGGTTTAGGCCAATATCATCATCTTCGTCAGCACCACGAATCATACTCATCAATAATCATCATTGACTTTGCAATCATTATATTCGCTATCAATATCAACATACTAATCATCAATTTTATAGTGATCATCATCCCTTAGGAGTCGATGGAATTAGTGCCACATTGTAGAATGTCAACATTGGTCATTGTTGACTTTTAGTTTATTGACCATCCCCCCGCACCTTCGATTATCACGGTTGGTTACGTATGGTGCGAAGGAAGTTCAACGCACATGCACGTATGAGGGAGGTGGAAGCCAGGGGCCGATGCTGTTTGCCTGAGCGATGAGGCATCGGTTCTCTCTGTTTTCACGGCTCCGTCCGTTCAACTTCTGCTTCTGCTGCCCCCCCCCCCGCGCTTCTCTCTCCCGCGCTCTCCCAGTCACCGCGGATGATGCGGAGGCGTCGCTCCCGCTGTCGGTGTCGGACCTGCGCGTGTTGGAGGTGAAGAGAAGCAGCGTTCGCATTGGGTGGAGCGGCGTCTCACGAGCCACGGGCTACCGGATCACGTGGGGCCCGGCCTCCGGTGAGAGATTCGCGATGATGCCACGGGGCCCCGTCGCAGGATCGCCGCCGTCTCCGTCGCCGTTAAATGTCATTGCGACGATAAACGATTTGGTTTTGCACGTAGGCTTTCGCGACCAATGTTATCCATGATAGAGGTTTTTTGGTAGATCGCACAAATATTAGTGTGTCGTTAAACCCGCCACCACCTGCCACAGCCAATTTTATAAGTTTTTGCTACGTAAACAAAACATGGAAATTCTTCACTAGTTCAGCAAACACCATCGGGTCATCCTCAGAGCAGCAGCAGCAGCAACAGAAGCAGCGGCTTTTAGCTAGCCATCGAACAAAGACCGCAAGTCACCGCATCGCACGCTTTCTGATGCGCTTCTGCGGCCGTCTGGAACGCTCTTCCTTTCCGAAATTAGAAAGCCACTGGAGCCACTGGAGCCACGGGAGCACTTTCAAATCTATATTGAAAACGAACTTCTTTAGAACTGCTTGTTGTGTTTATGTTGTCCTTCCCCCGCACCTCCGATTAGCACGGTTGCCTACGTAGGGCGCGAAAGAAGTTCAACATACCTGCAACACATTGTGGCTTTGCAGGCGGAGCGGAGCTGGTGCGCATGGTGCGCCCCAAGGTCACGTCGTACGCCATCGACGGCCTACAGGAGGCGACCGCGTACACCGTCGGGGTGACGGCAATGGCGGGCCGGAGGGAGGGCGCTTTGGTCACCATCACCGTCACCACAGGCACGGCCCCCCGCACTCGCCCACAAAGCCTGTTGTGGTTTTTTTTCACGATTTCGATACCGGAGACGTAACTACTCGACCCGAGCTATTAATGCCTTGATATTTACGTTGCCGTTGATGATTGATCGGTCGTGATGATGATGACGCCATTGCTTCTGATGATGTTTATGATGATCATTGATACGAATGATTCTGACGGTGCTGCTGTTATCGCTGCTGTCGTTGCCACGCCTGCTCTCCATCGCGATCACTGATCGCTGCTGCCAATGGCGATGGTGATGATGACGGCAACGATGACTCAACCCAGGTACAGGTGAACGCCTGGATGTGCCGTCGCAAGGATCAGACGTTGGTTCAGTTCGGAACCTCCGGATTGTGGACAGCGGGAGCCAGCATTTGCGAGTGAGCTGGACCAGACTGGCCCAGGCTTCTGGCTACAGGCTCAGCTGGAGAATTACAGACGGTAAAACATGCACAGTGGCTGGTTCCCCAAAGGAGCGACTGCACCGTAAAAAATTAAAATCAAAGCTTTTGTCTCATTGTTGACACCAGGGTGAGAACTCATTTTACTATAGCAGCCCTGGGGTCGCCGAAATTAAAAGTGCAGGAATGCCCGCCCAGCTATAACGCTGTTTTCTCATAACGCTCTTTGCCCTGAAGGTAACTTCCTGCCCGGATCAGCCCATATACGGAAGTGGGCGAGGCCTTTGCCTTTAGGGGGCGCGTCTCTGCCCATGTTATAATGGCCTTCTATAGCTGCCGTTTCATATATATAGTGCTCCATTTACCAGGAACGCATCCTGAGCGCTATAGTGAGGTGTGCCTGGAACAAAACATACAGTAGATCACAGCAGCGAGCGGATCATCGTAGCAAAAGTAACCAACGTCTCGTGGTAAATGGAAACTTGTGCAACCGTAAAGCGGCGTTCAACAATAAACTCACAAGTACCTTGAGTCGGCTCGGGTAGATTAATAATTGTTTGTCGACTGATCGTAGGAAAATTCCAGTTAGGTTAAGGAAACATTAAACGGACATAGCCCGACTGTTCTAATATGTAAACAAGACGAGGCTACGTGAGTCAAACGCATCACCCTGTCGTTGCTCGGATCATCGTGACGATGCTCGCACGTTCGGGTACGTGTGAAGGTCATTTGTCCGGAGAAGGCGGTCAAGGTGTGTCCCGGAAACAAAAAAGCTGAAACTTGGGACGAAGAACACGGTCAGGTCCGAGACGTCTGATAACCACACGTTCGCTCGTCGTGGGTCAGCTGTTTTCCCGACGTCTCGTTTCCTCGGCGCAGTCTGAACGTGAGAGGGGGGAGCGCTCGGGGGGGAGGGGTGGGGATTAAACTAAAACTATTCTTTATTTTACCAGGTAAAGCCCATTGAGCCGTCTAGCTCTTTTTCAGAAGCGACCTGGCTTTCACAAATGACAGCTCAACGAGACACTTATCATCGCGTGGAAATTTGTAGCAGCCAAATACTCTAAATGCGTGTCGTTTCTAAATGTGGAGGGAAAAACCGGAGGACCTGAGAAAAAAAATCCACGCGAACACGGGGAGAGAGACACGCAAACTCCAAATATACAGCAGCAGGCGTCAGGGTCGGGATCGAACCCACGACCTCCTGTACACCAGGCGAGGTAGTTAACATCTCACCACCACGTGCTGGGTGGTGGCGGTAGCCATGAGAACCCTCTACGCCTGTGTTTCTTGAGCGGGAGATCAAAGTCTTTTTCCTTGAGGGAGGTTTCTTTGAGTGGTTCCTTTGTGTGACTTTGGTCAAATTAAAGTATCTGCAGGCCCCAGGAAATCCAGTGGTTTATGTCGTCAGATTGAGTCTTAAACACCGGCGGTGCGACAATGCGTTGCCCCTGACCAATTCACCAGGAATTCACGCACGCGATCTCACCATATTTTTCGGAGGTTAAGCAAGGCTGTGCCTGCATACTGCTCGGACTACCATGCATGATGGGTGTTATCGGTTATACACCGGGGCATTGGAGAGTTCAGTGCAGCAAAATCAGCTGTTGTACTGTACAGATGCACTATACATTTCGCCGTGAGACCATTGCGCTGCCCGGGTGACGCAGTCCATCAAGCCCCTCAGGGCCCGTGGGCCTCCGTGCGATTGCACCGCTTACACGCTCAACAGCCACCTTTCCCCTCGCTCCCACGCCCCCCACAAAGGGCGGGGGGGACGGGCTAGAGGGCTGCCGTTCGGCGGTCGTGGACGCCGCCGAGTTTCTCCGCGTGGTCTCCTCTCTCGGCGCAGGGGGCCCCGAGTCGAGCCGCACGCTGCGCCCGGACGCGACGACGTTCGTGGTCGACGGGCTGCAGCAGGGCACGACCTACACGCTCTCGCTGGTGGCGCTCGCCGGAGGCAGGGAGGGGGCGGCAGCGACGCTGATTGCGAGGACGCATGGAGGCGGCGTGGAGGCTGGTGGCGGTGCGCTTACGCACACATGCGTGGACAGACGCAGTTCGACCTCGTGCCCGAAGTCGAACTGCGTCCGCACCGGAGGGATCGGTTGCGCAAGGGAATGGCTCTCGAAATCGAGCTCCGGTGTATTTCGTCTTGCCAGGTTTAGATCTCAAGGGAGCAGGATATAAGTTAAATGTGCAAGATTGAGCAACCGTGCTAATCACACCTCCGATTAGCACGGCTGGCTACGTGCGATGCGAAAGGAGTTCAGCAAACATATCAAAACGAGCCTTTTGCCCGTCCAAGGACAGGTGTATTGCAGTAAATCTGAAACTTGCAACCGAAAATCAGACCGCAACATGTTATATGCATTGCATTAATTTGTATGCAATTAGTAAGGGCGCGGTGACACAGACCTATTTCATTTTAAGGTTATAATCCCTTGTTCATCATCGTGACGTCCTTTTTACTTCAATGTCTCAACAGCGTTACGGAGATCACGTGACGAGAGGGTTCTGCCTTTGTAGTGAGGGTTGTAAGTTGACACTGAGGAGGGGGGAGGAGGCGCCTCGGCCCCCCATGTGGAGTGACGTCAGCCGCTAATTATTATTAATGGGGGGGGGGGTGTCCATTTGGAGGACGTCACCTAATAATGGTTATTAATGAGGGGGGCTGTTCAATGTGGAGTTACGTCACTTGCTCATGATTATTAATGGGGGGGGGGAGGGTGTTCCATGTGGAGTGATGTCACCTGCTCATGATTATTAATGGGGGGGGTGTGTGTCCACGTGGAATGACGTCACCTGCTCATGATTATTCATGAGGAGGGCTGGTCGATGTGGAGTGACGTCACGAGCGTTAAGGACAGACATTCCTGGATGATTAAAGTAGGGAAACATAGAGATGCACAGAGACACCAAGAGGGGCGTAGTGATCCTTAGAGACTCGTAATGCTACGCAGAGGTACGTAGAGCCATAGTCGCAAAAGAGACCCACGGAGACACATTGCGGTACACACTCTGATTTGGGAGATCGTTTTAAATAAGAACATAAGTAAGCGGTCTTGGGCAGGACACATCGGCCGTGGAAGTGACGATGTCTGGTGGTGAAGGCTAACGACGGAGTGGCATCCGTCGCGAAGATGGAGTGGTGAAATCAGCTCATGCACAGGCGCTAGGCACAATTGTTGCATAGCAAGGCCATCATAGATGGTGATAGCTTAGAGATGCCTTCATCCAGCAGTGTATTGATCGTAGCTGTTAGACAATGATGATGACCATGATGAATAGGTGTGTGCGTCTGTACATGTATGTTCGTATGTACATGTGTGTGTGTACGTACATGTGTGTGCATGGGCCTACTCCTGTCCAGATGCGGAGTTTCTGGCGGTACAAGGGTTTCGGGTGTCCGACGCGTCAGCCGGAGTTCTGACGCTCACATGGCAACCTCAGCGGCGAGCCTCTCAGTACCTCCTCACCTGGGCTTCAGGTACGGACTGTGTCGGTGGCGCAAGCGGGCAAGCGAGACTTCCCTGTGGACACCACCGGATGATATGGGGGGGCAGCCCTCCATGGGGGACGCCAACATATAATCAGGAGGAGACAACAAACTGCAAATAGAGAGCGCTTCAAAACAAATGTTAACACTTCTGAAAATTTGCAACAAGCAATGTGCTGCTGCCCCCAGGCTCTGGAGATCACCTGGAGAAGATTCCAGGGCTCGTGTTGACAATGATGGCGAACAAGTGGAGACTCTTTGACTTTTTGAAGTTATTAACATTACATTTGTTTTGATTTAAAGCTTTCGTGACTGCAGTAATTCATATTCTTAGTTTTTTCGGTAAAGTCACGTTGAAGAGAAACAACAAAATAACAAAATATATATAAAACAATAAAACATTCTCACGACGTTTCGACCATAACTCAAACGGTCATCATCAGGTGTGTCGGTTTGCATAAATTTATTTTGAAAACGGCATATTTATTTATTTATATATATTTAAAAAAATAACGTTTGCGTCACGCGCAACGATGGCAGTTTGCCAGGACTAGTCCATCTATTTTTTGAAAAGAGGAGGGGGGAGACGAAATTTGTTTTTATGTATGCTGTCTGAAAGCCACTGTAAGCGTGAACAATCAATCAAGAACTGAAATGATTTATCAAATCTTTCCAATGATTGCTAAGATAGAATCCATCTTCTCGGTTGAAATTGTCTCTGTGCTTGTATATGTGGATAGCCTCATGAACGAATCTCTCATGGAAGCCAGATGGCTTACAAAGAACCTCCGTCTTGGAAAAGTCAATGGCATGTGAGCCTACTGAATTAGAACAATGATCTGCTACGGCCGAGGTGTTGGTCCTACCGTGTTTAAGGTCTGCTTTATGTTCACGAATGCGGTCCGAGACATGGCGTTTGGTTTCTCCAATGTAACTACTACCACAGAGGCAACTTAGTTTGTAGACACCAGGGTATTGTATGTCCGGAATCACATCTTTTACAGACGGAACCAGATCACGGATTTTATGTAATGTGTTGAAACGGACCTGGATCTTGTGTTTATTCAAGATTTTGGAGATCTTTTTTGTGATCCCAGCAATGTAGGGTAAAGTGATGGTTTTGAAAGGCTCCTCAAGAGGGTTCTTCTTCATGGTTTGAGTGATAGCTTTGCGGATTGTATAGTCGGAGTAACCATTAGCCCTAAGAGCTTGGTGTACGTGCTTGAGTTCACTGCTTATGTGTTCCTGGTCGGATATGCATTGGGCTCTATGATACAGAGTCTTGATGAGAGAATTCTTCTGTGATGGATGGTGGTGGGAATCCGGTTTCAGATAAGCATCCGTATGGGTAGCTTTCCTGTAGACAGAGTGGCTCATTGAACCATCAGGTCTCTTTTTAATTAGGACATCCAAAAAAGGTATCTTGCCATCTATTTCGACTTCCATGGTAAATCTGATGGCTGGGTGTATGGAATTGATGTGGTCGAAGAATTGGTCTAGAGCAGGCCGGCCATGTGGCCAGATGACAAAAGTGTCATCCACGTACCTCTTCCATAAGGTTGGGCGCAGAGTGGCAGTCTGGATGGCGTCAGTCTCAAATTTCTCCATGAAAATGTTAGCTATAACTGGAGAAAGGGGGGAGCCCATTGGGGTGCCCTCAGTTTGTTTGTAGAAAGTTCCATTCCAAGTGAAGTATGTATTGGTTAAACAGTGTCTCACCAGGGGGGTACCTCAGTGTTTAGTCCTTGATGAACCAAGTCTTCAATGATTGCAATGGTGTCAGGTACAGGAACCTTGGTGAATAAGGAAACTACATCAAAACTGACAAGCAGGTCGTCTGGGGACAGGGAAATACCCTTGATTGTTGATACCAGGTGAGTAGAATTTTGTACCGCAGAGGTGGTCTTTCCAGTGAAAGGACGCAGGATTTCAGACAAAAAACGAGCTAGTTTGTAGGTGGGGGAGCTGATAGTAGAGACTATGGGACGAAGAGGTGTATCAACTTTATGTATTTTTGGTAAGCCGTATAATCTTGGTGGCCTGGCAGCAGAAGGTTTCAACGAAAACTGTTTAGATTGATCAATTAATGCGGTTGAATCAAAATTAAAGAATTACTCGACGATGGTAGTTATACAAAAATAAAAAGAGATCCCACAGCCTCGTCACACAAACCAACAAAATAATTTCTGATTCAACCGCATTAATTGATCAATCTAAACAGTTTTCGTTGAAACCTTCTGCTGCCAGGCCACCAAGATTATACGGCTTACCAAAAATACATAAAGTTGATACACCTCTTCGTCCCATAGTCTCTACTATCAGCTCCCCCACCTACAAACTAGCTCGTTTTTTGTCTGAAATCCTGCGTCCTTTCACTGGAAAGACCACCTCTGCGGTACAAAATTCTACTCACCTGGTATCAACAATCAAGGGTATTTCCCTGTCCCCAGACGACCTGCTTGTCAGTTTTGATGTAGTTTCCTTATTCACCAAGGTTCCTGTACCTGACACCATTGCAATCATTGAAGACTTGGTTCATCAAGGACTAAACACTGAGGTACCCCCCCTGGTGAGACACTGTTTAACCAATACATACTTCACTTGGAATGGAACTTTCTACAAACAAACTGAGGGCACCCCAATGGGCTCCCCCCTTTCTCCAGTTATAGCTAACATTTTCATGGAGAAATTTGAGACTGACGCCATCCAGACTGCCACTCTGCGCCCAACCTTATGGAAGAGGTACGTGGATGACACTTTTGTCATCTGGCCACATGGCCGGCCTGCTCTAGACCAATTCTTCGACCACCCCCCCGCCCCCCCCCGCCCCAAAAAAAAAAAACCCCCACATCAATTCCATACACCCAGCCATCAGATTTACCATGGAAGTTGAAATAGATGGCAAGATACCTTTTTTGGATGTCCTAATTAAAAAGAGACCTGATGGTTCAATGAGCCACTCTGTCTACAGGAAAGCTACCCATACGGATGCTTATCTGAAACCGGATTCCCACCACCATCCATCACAGAAGAATTCTCTCATCAAGACTCTGTATCATAGAGCCCAATGCATATCCGACCAGGAACACATAAGCAGTGAACTCAAGCACGTACACCAAGCTCTTAGGGCTAATGGTTACTCCGACTATACAATCCGCAAAGCTATCACTCAAACCATGAAGAAGAACCCTCTTGAGGAGCCTTTCAAAACCATCACTTTACCCTACATTGCTGGGATCACAAAAAAGATCTCCAAAATCTTGAATAAACACAAGATCCAGGTCCGTTTCAACACATTACATAAAATCCGTGATCTGGTTCCGTCTGTAAAAGATGTGATTCCGGACATACAATACCCTGGTGTCTACAAACTAAGTTGCCTCTGTGGTAGTAGTTACATTGGAGAAACCAAACGCCATATCTCGGACCGCATTCGTGAACATAAAGCAGACCTTAAACACGGTAGGACCAACACCTCGGCCGTAGCAGGTCATTGTTCTAATTCAGTAGGCTCACATGCCATTGACTTTTCCAAGACGGAGGTTCTTTGTAAGCCATCTGGCTTCCATGAGAGATTCGTTCATGAGGCTATCCACATATACAAGCACAGAGACAATTTCAACCGAGAAGATGGATTCTATCTTAGCAATCATTGGAAAGATTTGATAAATCATTTCAGTTCTTGATTGATTGTTCACGCTTACAGTGGCTTTCAGACAGCATACATAAAAACAAATTTCGTCTCCCCCCTCCTCTTTTCAAAAAATAGATGGACTAGTCCTGGGCAAACTGCCAATCGTTGCGCGTGACGCAAACGTTATTTTTTATATATATAAATAAATAAATATGCCGTTTTCAAAATAAATTTATGCAAACCGACACACCTGATGATGACCGTTTGAGTTATGGTCGAAACGTCGTGAGAATTTTTTTTTTTATTGTTTTATATATATTTTGTTATTTTGTTGTTTCTCTTCAACGTGACTTTACCGAAAAAACTAAGAATATGAATTACATTTGTTATCGTGTTACAGTGTATTATTATCCGTTCTTTTTCTATTAAAAAACGATAGTCCCATTTAAGTGTTAACATTTTTTGAAGCACCCTGTATACAGCAGGCGTGAGGTCGTTAACATCTGGTGAGAAGACGCTTCAAATTGCCCAGTGCATTCCAGCGCCGTGTAAAAACCACGAATCCCTCTCGTCTTGGTCCTTCAGATGCCGGCGAGCAGTTCAGCACGTCTCTTGAGCCCAGCGTGACCATGCACAAGGTGACGGGCCTTCTGGGCGGCCGCGTCTACACGTTCACCATCCTACCCATGTTCCCCAACGGGCATGGTCTCCCCTCCACGCTCACCCAGCACACAGGTGACCCCCGCAGTGCATCCAGCGTGAACCGAGCCAGCGTTGTTTCTCTCTGTCGTAGCGTTAAGCCCATTGGACGACGATCTGTGAGACAAAAAAGGGGGGGGGAAATCGACAAACAAAAACCAACATTCACGGAAAAGCCTGTGGCCTTCAGAAGAAAAATGTATTATGGGACGATATTTTCATGAAATCGCCCCTTCGTAATTGCACGTAATCAATTTCACATGAAAAAGGGCAATTGCTGAAATGTTGCCGATTATATACATCTACTCCGAAGGTGACGCAGCGTTATAGACGGACGTGTGGAGTTGTTGGCTATGCGTGCCTGTGCACTGCCGCCATTGCCATGGCATCACCAAATAATAATGTGTGGAATCTTAGTCAAGTCTGAACGAAGACGGTCTGCAATGTAGTCCACGTGGCTGTGAGGGGTGGACAATTGTCTCCTCTCTCTGTATTGTCAGGGCAGCCGGTGAGTGAACTGTCATCGTATACAGACACCGACTTCAGAATGGGAATCTTTATTCATACTGCAGGAGGAATCCGATGAGCTATGAAGTTCTTTTTCACAGATGTCCAGTAGGGGTGGGTCAGAAAGTTACAATAACAAATACTACAAAAACACGATAGGAGTGCTAAGTATATGAAAGGTAAACAAATCACAATTTATTTTTTAAATAAACTATTTTTATTTTACCAGGTATAGCACACTGAGCTATTAGTTTTTTGTTCAGAAACGACCTAACCACGAATGATAGTTCAACAAAGTAGCGTATCATGTGGACATTTATAGCGGCCAAATAATCTAAATGATCGAAGCTTAAGCTTAGACAAAAGTCAACTTGGGCACACATTGTGCTCTCAGATGTTTGCTTTACAAGCGACGTCATTGAATCGGCACTGCTAAGATGAACACATCAGAAGCTGGCCAGATGGCTCGGTGGTCAGAGCACACAGCTGGCACTCATGGGATCCTGAGTTCGAGTCCAGGTAGCCAGCTGTGATTGAAATCAGTTTATTGAGGTGTTGTGAATCGAATGATCTCAGCCTCATCACGTAATGAGTACAAAAAAAATCGTGACATTAATTTTGGTTCTGCGCTTATAATTCGGGTAAAATACAGCTTTGGGAATTAAACATCAGTTTGTCGGTCATACGAAGGGTATTGTTCTCAGTCGTGGGCAGGGAGGTGCTTGAAGGGATCTCCAAGGTAGCTCTGTGATATCCGCTTTCCGTGGGCCGTTCACTCACGTGGGTGGCTGCATAACCGTGTGAGAAATTAGAACGGATTCTGCTTTCCAAGACGCGACAGACATCGATTGTGCAATGGGGCCAATATTTTGTTTTAAAAAAAATGTTTAAAATACCCTGGGATATAGAGATGAACACATTATCCTTCCGTCGCAAGCACCAACCTTCGCGCTCACACCTTAATCCCACGACCTGCTCCTCTCCCCTGTACCCCCCGCCCCGCTGCTCCTGTGACTAAACATTCAGAAGGTTTCCAGGTCGTCGTTGGGCCCCCTGTATTTGAAGACGCCGAGTCAGGTTTTTGGGAGGGTGAGTTTTGTCCCAAAGAAAAGAGACCAACCTTAAAAAAACATTAACCCCCAAGCACGCCAACAACCGCGCGCATGTTTGCCTGCTTCAAGAACAATGAGTGCTGTTACATTCTAACGTGGGCAACACCGACTCAGTATCACGTGGGCAACACCGGTTGGGGGTGACGTGGGCAACACCGACTCAGTATCACGTGGGCAACACCGACTGAGTATCACGTGGGCAACACCGACTGGGGGTGACGTGGGCAACACCGACTCAGTATCACGTGGGCAACACCGACTGAGTATCACGTGGGCAACACCGACTGGGGGTGACGTGGGCAACACCGACTGAGTATCACGTGGGCACCACCGGCTGGGGGTGACGTGGGCAACACCGACTCAGTATCACGTGGGCACCGCCGACTGGGGGTGACGTGGGCACCACCGACTCCCGCTTGTGCTACAATCTATTTGGGGGCGGCACGCTCTGTGTACTGCATTTGCTGCCCGTTTCCTTCCCCCCCCCCCCCCCCCGGCGTCTGGATAAAAAAACCCTCCGTTCGCCGTCAACATTTCGAAAGATCCCACAAACCCCACTTCTCACGGGCCGCGGTGTCGATGCCTCGCGTGACGACAGTCCCGGTTGCCACGACGAGTCGGGGCGGTGTCGCCGCGGCGCTTACGAATTAAACTCCGCACGACAGACATCGTCCGCTATGCGAGTTGCCCGCATGCCGCCGCACGTCGAGGGGAAGAAGGCATGCGACTTGTACGGCACGCGCTCGGCATGACGTTGTGCCCGTGTGCTACGCCCAAGCGGCTCGCCGCTTGGCTTCGGCATTAACTGAATGGAAATGCGTTGCTCTTATTCGCAGAGGGTGGCCCCAAAAGTCGACTCATGGAGGGGGTCGCTGGATTTATTTTGACGCTGGCATAAAAAAAAACATTTCAATTGTTTATCCTGGAAGTTAATGTTTTATCTGTTACCATTATTCATTAACTCTTGTTCTTCCTGTGGTGATCACCCTGTGTGATTTGTTGAAGTAAATATAACATCCCTACTGTATGTGTTCTGAGCTTTGGCCCACCCTGTATCTTGTGTGTTTAGTTTGCGTGACCGCGTTAATTGGGAGGCTCACGAGCGCAATGTCAGAGAGAGACCGCTCAGCCGAGTTTCTGGGTTTGAACTCAGACTCGAGTTTCACGAGCGTGGCAGCTTGACGCTCCATTAACGTCTGTCTGCGACAACAGTAAAGACGCAAATTTTGCTCTGTGACTTCACGTGGCTTGACCTCCCCTAAGCAATAAACACTTCAGTCCGATTGCCACGTGACAAACACTCTTCATGCGTACGTGACGGACGACGCCACGGTACATCGGCTCGTGTGGATACGCGGCCTGCTGAATTGGCCGTTTACTCAAGACGTGGGAACCTACTTAAACACGTCACTTTTGATTAACTCTTATCACCTACACTTTCAATTGGCCTCATTGCTACGGCAATCCATGGTGGGAGGGGGGGGGAGGTAGTGGGGTGGATCGGTAGCGCGATGATTTGGTGGACTCCACGGGCAACAACCGAAGTTCTCTCACTCGCTCTCACCAGCCGGCACCTGACCAGCGTGGTGAAGTATGCTCGAACAAACCCACCGTGGGGAGGCCTTCACACGTCGGTCGGTCGGTCGGTCATCGATCGATTGAAATATCCTTTCTAAGTTCAATGTTGTGCACGCTACGCACTGGAGTAAACTAATGTACCCCCATCGTCATCACGATCCATGGGCAGATTGCTCCGTAGGTGTCTACTGCATATTTAGTCATTTCTTTCCACTTTCCTCTGTCTTGTGCCAATATGCTCATGCAGTGGCCACATCTTTCTGCCAACAATCTCTTGTCGTCGTCGAGCCATTCTCTGCCAGGTCTCCCTCTCTTTCCCATGCCTTCCATGTTTCCCAACAACACACTTTCCATTTTCCTGTTTGTTCTCCGTCCTACACGTGTGTCCAAACAGGTGCCAGTTTCCTTCTCATCACTGCCTGCATCGTCAGTTTGGCTTCTTCTCTGCACAACCTCCATCTTACTTCTACGTCGGCCACTCTTTGGGTCCAGCTTTGACGCAGTATTAATGTACCTCGCCATTAATATTACGAACCGGACGGCGGTGATGGACGCGCTCGCGCGCAAGCGACGGGCGGGCTAACGGAGACGACGCCGTGCTGCTGTCCTGCGTTCTGCGCGTCGTGCGAGCAGCGTGCCTCGGCCTGCAGGCCGACGTCGTCTTGCTCGTCGACGGATCGGCCGCGGTCGGCGTCGGCAACTTTGAGCGCGTCAGGGAGTTCCTCGCCCGGATGGTGTCGCTCTTCCCGAGGATCGGCCCCAACGGCACGCAGGTTCTCCTCCCTCCCGCCCGCCCGCCCGCCCGCCTTGCCGCCGCGCGTTCTCGCACGGACGAAAGCGGGGGTCGATGGGGTCGTCATCGTCGTGGCGAGCGTCCGGTGACGGCCCTCGGCGCGAGGCTGCCCCGGTGCCCGCGGCTCACCCGGTCCACCTGGCCGAACGCCTTCAATCGGCGCTCCGACGTTTTGTATTTCGCGGCTCACCCGTCGCTGTCTCCCTGTGTCGTCTCTCTCCCCTTCTTCGCTTCGAGCGACGAAATATTCCTCTTCCCCTTACCCCTGCGACAGAATAATGGGTGAATAATGTGTGAATGATGTGTGAGTGAATAATGTGTGAATGATGAGTGAATAATGTGTGAATGATGTGTGAGTGAATAATGTGTGAATGATGAGTGAATAATGTGTGAATGATGTGTGAGTGAATAATGTGTGAATGATGAGTGAATAATGTGTGAATCATGTGTGAGTGAATAATGTGTGAATGATGAGTGAATAATGTGTGAATCATGTGTGAGTGAATAATGTGTGAATGATGAGTGAATAATGTGTGAATGATGAGTGAATAATGTGTGAATGATGAGTGAATAATGTGTGAATGATGAGTGAATAATGTGTGAATGAGTGAATAATGTGTGAATGATGAGTGAATAATGTGTGAATGATGAGTGAATAATGTGTGAATGAGTGAATAATGTGTGAATGATGAGTGAATAATGTGTGAATGATGAGTGAATAATGTGTGAATGAGTGAATAATGTGTGAATGAGTGAACAATGTGTGAACATCGTTGGCCTTTGTTGCAGCGTCTCGGGATGCGTGTGGCCGTCCCGTTTCAACGTTGTTGTTGTTGTGTTGTATCATATCATGTTATATCGTGTTGCTTTCACTGTACTGCATTGGTGCATTGCTGTACACTACTTATATGCTCCCGTGTCTGTGATTTTTCGTGTGTTTAGTTTGTTGTTTCCCCCGCACCTCCCGATTTAGCGCGGTTGGGCTACGTACGGTGCAAAAGAAAAGTTAAACCGCTCCAGTGCCTAGCGCTCGGGGGGAACTGGGATATTGCCTTAATTGTTTTTGAGTCTCGTTTAACGTCTGGGCCTAGCGGGCTCCGTTCTCCCACCCACCTCGCCCCTCCACCCCTCCCGCTGGACGAAACCCAATATCGAGATATGTTTTATCAATGTTTTTTTCAATCAGCTTGTTTTTTTAATGTTCGTACCTCTGCGTGCTGCCAACTGTAATTCCACCACCACCACCATAGCAGCAGCAGCAGTAGCAGCAGTCACCTTCGCTCACTAGTTTCCGCTCCGCACTCAAAACGTACTTATTGTCCCCTAGCTAACCCCACGAACCCCCCTTAATCTCCCCCTCATAACCGCCACCGTTACTTTTCCCTCCTCATATTCTCATTGGATCACTTTCGCTCACTCCCCATTCCTTCGGTCCATTCATCATCATTTACCGTCATCAATTTCGCTTTCACCGATGTCGCGCGCCGTCGCAGATTTGCCCCCCATTGCTTCCTCTCATCCATTTCGATCGCCTCATCTCCACCAGTACATTCATATGCACTCACGTTAATTCCGTGGTGAAGGCGCTACATGAATCCCCCGAAGATGATACGTTAAGGCGCAGCGGCAGCATCCCGCTTGCAGGTCGCCGTGGCGCAGTTCAGCGACGACGTGACCGTGGAGTTCAACCTCAACGAGTACCGCGACAGGGGCCTGCTGGACCAGGCCATCCGCGCGCTGCTTCACTCCGGCGGACCCGGCGTGCGCGCTGGTGAGTGCCCGCCCGTGGCGGTGGCGTCGCGTTTGTTGCGCCATCACCGTCGTAATCGTCGGCAGTAGGCGGCGGTGGCAAAGTCATCGGCAGAGTCATCGCCCTGGGAACGATTAAGGGCTTTTTTCGTAAATTGCAATTAAAAATGTCATCGTCGTGAGCTCCGTCTTCATCGCCGTAATCATCGGCAGCGGCACGAGCAGCAGCATCATCATCGGCAGCATCATCATCAGCAGCATCATCATCAGCAGCATCATCATCAGCATCATCGGCAGCATCATCGGCAGCAGCAGCAGCAGCAGCGGTATCGTCAGAATCGTCATCAGCAGCAGTCTCATCAGAGATTTTGGTCAGTGGCCAAAAGCAACAGCGGCATTGTCATGGCGGTCATATGTTCATCATCAGCAGTGATATAATCATCATCCATAGTAAAAATGTCATTATCATCATCAGCGGCTACATTATCAGCAGCAGCAGTGTCATGATCACCGCCATCGTTATGTCATCATCATCAGCAGCAGCATTCCCATCATCAACATATCCAGCAGCGTCGCCATCATCAAAAGTTACCCATAACAGAGGTTTTCTGGGCTAGATTGCGTAGATATAAATGTGTCGTTAAACCCGCCACTGACACAGCCAATTGTAGACAAAACATGCCAATTAGTTACTAGTTCAGCACGGTGTGTTGGAGAGTAAACCCAGAACCAAAAAACCAACAAAACCTCTGATGGATAATATCGGTCGTGAAAGCCTACGTGTTGACTGATTAATTATCATCATCATTGCTCTAATAATTATCGTCAATGATTGTTAAGCTCACACTGTTAGAGATGCATACCTTTGTCTGCCATCTACGTGTCTGGTTTAAGGGCGCCAGATTGACGAGATGTTAACTACCTTGCCTGGTATACAGGAGGTCGTGGGTTCCATCCAGAACCTGACGCTTGTATATTTGGAGGTTACTTGTTCTCCCTGTGGTCGCGTTGATTTTTCTCCAGATCCTCCGATTTTTCCCTCCACACTTAGAAACAACATGCGTTTAGAGTATTTGGCTGCTATAAATTTCCATGTGATGATAAGCCACTATTTACTATAGCCAGGTCGCTTCTGAAAAAGAGAGTTTGTAAATTTTAACCTTCTCCCGTTCTCCACGCAGGCCGGGCGATCGACTTCGCCATACGGAACATGTTTTCTCCACTGGCCGGCATGCGCTCTCTCGTTCCCCGCATCCTCGTTCTCGTGATGGGTACTCCTTCACAGGACGACCCCTCGGGTCCCGTGAGGAACGCGGCGTCAGCCGGTGAGCTCCTGGGTCTCACGCGTTCTTCCCCGAGCACCTCGGGTCTGTTGTTGTTGTTGTTGTCTTGGTGTGGTCTGGGACTGTTGTTGTTGTCTTGATGTGGTCTGGGATTGTTGTTGTTGTCTTGGTGTGGTCTGGGACTGTTGTTGTTGTCTTGGTGTGGTCTGGGATTGTTGTTGTCTTGGTGTGATCTGGGATTGTTGTTCTTGTCTTGGTGTGGTCTGGGATTGTTGTAGTTGTCTTGGTGTGGTCTGGGATTGTTGCTGTCTTGGTGTGGTCTGGGATTGTTGTTCTTGTCTTGGTGTGGTCTGGGACTGTTGTTGTTGTCTTGGTGTGGTCTGGGACTGTTGTTCTTGTCTTGGTGTGGTCTGGGATTGTTGTTGTTGTCTTGGTGTGGTCTGGGATTGTTGTTGTCTTGGTGTGGTCTGGGATTGTTGTTCTTGTCTTGGTGTGGTCTGGGATTGTTGTTGTTGTCTTGGTGTGGTCTGGGATTGTTGTTGTCTTGGTGTGGTCTGGGATTGTTGTTCTTGTCTTGGTGTGGTCTGGGACTGTTGTTGTTGTCTTGGTGTGGTCTGGGACTGTTGTTCTTGTCTTGGTGTGGTCTGGGGGATCTTTGTCTGCGCGTGTCCAGGTGTGACATTGTACCCCGTGGGCGTGGGACGCGTGGACGCATCCCAACTCCGGATCTACGTCCCGGACTCGCGTGTGGGCTTCACCGCACGCTCCTACGATGAGCTCACAGCCGTGGAGGCCGCCCTCGTAGAGGCGATCTGTGCCAGCGGGGGAGGGAACGGTGGCACTGGTGGAGGCCCTGTGGTACAAATCACCAGTACACCGCCTCCATCGCCACCACCGCCGCCACCAACTCCACCACCGCCGCCACCCCTACCACAGCCACCACCGCCACCAACAACAGCAGCAACAGTAGCAGCAGCAGCAAATGCAGCCACCGAATTAGCAGTGATGCCACCATGACGCTCGTGCCAGGCTAGGTGCACCTTGAACTTCAAACCACGTGGTGGTGATGATGGGGTGTCCACAGGTGTTGTGGGTTAATAGACTTACTTGGGTGACTGGAAGATGCAACTTATGTAAAGACATAAGATATATCTTCATAAATTTTATTTTAAGGTTTTCTGGTAAAACAATATTCATATAACCAGTAACAAGAAGCGTGATTCGATGCAGGTATCATTAGCATACGATATTTGGCTGCGAAAGAGTATTTGGCTGCTATACATTTCCACGTGATGAAATGCCACTTTGTTGAGCAATCATTTGTGGCCAGGTCGCTTCTGAAAAAGAGCTGTGTAACTTAGTGGGTCTTACCATGTAAAATAAAAAATTGTTTAGTTTAATCGATTAACTGATGCATCGCTGGATAACGAGTAATTAGTACTGCCGCTGTTGTTGTGCAAGTATCGTGATGTCTGAAGCGTTCAATGTATTTATGTGTTCGCACAGGTTTACCCAGATCCTCCATCGGGCTGTCCTGCCCAATGTCCAAGGGTAAGTCTGACTCTTGAATGTGTTGAGTGGCAGCTCAGTAACTCAGGCGACACATAATGACCATTTCAGAACACTTAGCAAACTGAGACCATTGTTAGAATCTGGTGTTCAGTTACCCATTATGATTTATATTTGTATTTTGCATAATTATACTCTGATCGGGGTTGCTGCCACAGTGGTGCAACAGTCAGGATAATGAACCTGCAATCCATAGGTCACGGGTTCGATCTTCTGGAATGGCAGTTCAAACTGCGCAAGTTTCTTAAATCCTGCTGTGGTATAAATGGGTGCACTACAGATGGTCGATCGGTAAGCCGCGTGTGGTGGTGGGGTTCGAGTGTGGGGTATTTTCACCTCTTCCAAGACGTCTGGTGAATGTGGAAGAGTAGGCCAAAATAAGCTCTGGCTGCAAATAAGCTCTGGCTCCTGGCTGCAAATCGCATTTGTCTGTGGCTTCCCATAACTCTATTTCATTGGCTGTCTTTTTTGAGCGTACAAATGTTCAGTATTATTATCATGCCATTAGCATGTAAAACAATTTACCAGAATGTTATATATATGTCTAAGTTGATACAATATTATCTGTTAAGCACGAGCAATCTCTTTAACTCAGCTTTCTTCCACTTGTAGTGATTACAATGCATTAGTTATGTCATTATTGATGTGCATCCCTTGATGAGACACATTGTAATTCGCTACCCTTGAGTTTGAAATGCTTTCGTGATAAGGGAAGCTCGTGTCGTTATTACATTTCACTGAACGCCGCTGATTCTCGACTTATCTTGTCTCCCCTTGGCAGGGAGAGAAAGGAGAAATGGTGAATTCAAGACGCCGCCTTTTGTTATTACCATGAGTGCTGTCGATTTATTGGCTGATTGTGCGGAATCACTAGATTAATATATAATTATTATAATTGCATGTTAATAATATTGTGTTGTGATTTGTTATCTTAAGACGCCACAAACGTTTGCAAGTTTAATGGCACAATTATTCTGCGTACTTTGTTGCATTCTGCACACGATTTAACGACGTTTTGTGGTAACCAATTCAACATTGTCGCTTGTGTCTTGCAACACATTTGCACGTGATTTGAGATATTGTAGACCACCATAGCAAAGTAACTTTCATCATTACTGTGGTACAGCTTAGGATAGGCCCGAGAGTCTTCCACCCACCCTCTCATTCTACTTAGACAGCCCAGCCTAAAGAGCTCAACCAAACCAGGGAAGGGATGTAGTCTTCTCGGTGTATGAACACATGAGTTGAAATATTGTGGGACAGATGTTAATATTGTTATATATGTGTGTCAAATGTCTATTGGAGGACGTTCTATTTATTTTGACGGTCATGGATCGAACCAGCTTGTTTTGTTTTTAAATATCTGAATTTCTAACGAGCATTAGAAATGCTCATTTTATTATGCAGAGACATGTTGCCATGGTGATTCACCTGACTTCTTTTCAGCTCACGTGTCTGTAAATTATTAACACACATTGTATAGGTGAATTTAGGTTCACTGTAATTAATTTATAACACACATTTTATAGGTGAATTGAAGTTTGCTGTAATTAATTACACACGTAAAGGTGAATTGAAGTTTGCTGTGATTCCAGGGCAGAAGAGGGAGGCCTGGTCAAGTAGGCTCCAGAGGAGATCCGGTAAGATAACACAGTACCATACAAAATCCCCAAATATCGTTGACTACATCTGTGAAAAGGAGCTTAATAGCTCATCAGATTCCTTCAGTGAAAATACGTATTCTGATTCTCTATTGTGAATTAACCTTCATAAGATACAGTATAAGGATGTATAACCTGGAGATGGTGGTGCACCATCTCCATTTTTGTATGGTGCCCCATCTCAATTGTTGGGTGGTGCCCATCTCAATTGTTGGGTGGTGCCTCATCTCCATTGTTGGGTGGTGCCCATCTCCATTGTTGGGTGGTGCCTCATCTCCATTGTTGGGTGGTGCCCATCTCAATTGTTGGGTGGTGCCCCATCTCAATTGTTGGGTGGTGCCCATCTCAATTGTTGGGTGGTGCCCATCTCAATTGTTGGGTGGTGCCTCATCTCCATTGTTGGGTGGTGCCCCATCTCCATTGTTGGGTGGTGCCCATTTCCATTGTTGGGTGGTGCCCCATCTCCATTGTTGGGTGGTGCCCCATCTCCATTGTTGGGTGGTGCCCATCTCCATTGTTGGGTGGTGCCCCATCTCCGTTGTTGGGTGGTGCCTCATCTCCATTGTTGGGTGGTGCCCCATCTCCATTGTTGGGTGGTGCCCCATCTCAATTGTTGGGTGGTGCCCATCTCCATTGTTGGGTGGTGCCCCATCTCCATTGTTGGGTGGTGCCCATCTCCATTGCTGGGTGGTGACTCATCTCCATTGCTGGGTGGTGCCCCATCTCCATTGCTGGGTGGTGCCCCATCTCCATTGTTGGGTGGTGCCTCATCTCCATTGTTGGGTGGTGCCCATCTCCATTGTTGGGTGGTGCCCATCTCCATTGTTGGGTGGTGCCTCATCTCCATTGTTGGGTGGTGCCCATCTCCATTGTTGGGTGGTGCCCATCTCCATTGTTGGGTGGTGCCCCATCTCCATTGTTGGGTGGTGCCTCATCTCCATTGCTGGGTGGTGCCCCATCTCCATTGTTGAGTGGTGCCCATCTCCATTGCTGGGTGGTGCCTCATCTCCATTGTTGGGTGGTGCCTCATCTCCATTGTTGGGTGGTGCCCATCTCCATTGTTGGGTGGTGCCTCATCTCCATTGCTGGGTGGTGCCTCATCTCCATTGTTGGGTGGTGCCCCATCTCCATTGTTGGGTGGTGCCCCATCTCCATTGTTGGGTGGTGCCCATCTCCATTGTTGGGTGGTGCCCCATCTCCATTGTTGGGTGGTGCCCATCTCCATTGTTGGGTGGTGCCTCATCTCCATTGCTGGGTGGTGCCTCATCTCCATTGTTGGGTGGTGCCCCATCTCCATTGTTGGGTGGTGCCTCATCTCCATTGTTGGGTGGTGCCCCATCTCCATTGTTGGGTGGTGCCCCATCTCCATTGCTGGGTGGTGCCTCATCTCAATTGTTGGGTGGTGCCCCATCTCCATTGTTGGGTGGTGCCCATCTCCATTGTTGGGTGGTGCCTCATCTCCATTGTTGGGTGGTGCCCCATCTCCATTGTTGGGTGGTGCCCATCTCCATTGTTGGGTGGTGCCCCATCTCCATTGTTGGGTGGTGCCCCATCTCCATTGTTGGGTGGTGCCCATCTCCATTGTTGGGTGGTGCCCATCTCAATTGTTGGGTGGTGCCCCATCTCCATTGTTGGGTGGTGCCCCATCTCCATTGTTGGGTGGTGCCCATCTCCATTGTTGGGTGGTGCCCATCTCCATTGTTGGGTGGTGCCCATCTCCATTGTTGGGTGGTGCCTCATCTCCATTGCTGGGTGGTGCCTCATCTCCATTGTTGGGTGGTGCCTCATCTCCATTGTTGGGTGGTGCCCCATCTCCATTGTTGGGTGGTGCCTCATCTCCATTGTTGGGTGGTGCCTCATCTCCATTGTTGGGTGGTGCCCCATCTCCATTGTTGGGTGGTGCCCCATCTCCATTGTTGGGTGGTGCCCCATCTCCATTGTTGGGTGGTGCCCATCTCCATTGTTGGGTGGTGCCCCATCTCCATTGTTGGGTGGTGCCTCATCTCCATTGTTGGGTGGTGCCTCATCTCCATTGTTGGGTGGTGCCCCATCTTCATTCCTGGCGCTGAACCTTAGTGGTATAAATTCCACGTGAGGTTAGTGGGCTCCGGGTTTATCCATAGAACAAGTACCCATTGACTTCCCACAAAATAGTTCCCTTTTACCACAGAGATTTACGCTCATGTTAACGATGATGGGTTGAATCGACTCACGACCGGGAGTTGAACTCATGCTCAAACCACAGTGGCCACCGGCTGGATAGTTCAAGTCTATTCCATGTGTGACCAGATGAGAACAGAATACGTAATCAATTTGGAAAGGGAGATCTTCAGAAATGCATTGATAGGTACGGAATGACAATTTTAGAAAACAGTGCAAAATATATGGTACATGTATTAAATCACAAATTTATGCAAAACTGTAACAAAAAGCATCCAGAACAGATATTTTAAAGTACAACAATACCTTCTAAATACGCTGTTCTAATAATACTATTGATAGTGGCCATAGTTGACCCAAGCAAGCCTCATTGAGTCTCAACCGTGTTTCAAGAAGATCCCGAATTGAGATGTTTGCCCAAATCCTTCAGAATTACAATTTTGTATGGGTAAGGGTTTCCTGAGTATGCTAAGAAAAGCATTGCATAAGAGAGGACAGACAGCATTTACACAGTATATATCGATTGGCAGCCTACTTATTGCACTTCATCCGTGTGGCCACCTTGTAGCCAAGCAGTTGTAACATTCCTAGTGCAATCAGCTAAACCCGTCTACTAAAAATGTTGCATTACAGGTGTGCACTAACTTCCAGCACCAGCACAATTTGGAATTCATCACAGAAGAAGGAGAATGCATACGCATGGATTAATTTATGTACCGCTGTCCAACACACGTCTACCCTTGGGACAATTATTATGAGTTGTAAGGAAGCTGCCAGGTAGCAGTCAGGACAAAGTTGCATTTGCTTGTTTGCAAATGGCGTTAGTCATATTGCCTCTAGTTTGTGTCTTCAACGTTTTTGGGCAGCTCTTCGACAAAATGTGACCGGTTTTCAATCAAGTTAGATCCCCAGTAAGAACACACATTTATACGAAGTTCCGTTTATATTGGCTTATCGTTTTACGAGGGTTATCTTTACCCCAGACAGACAGACAGCTGCACGGACAGATGGAAATAACGCATTAACCCATTCAACCTTGGTTTTGGAAAGGGTTTGTAAAACGATTACGATATCTCGAGTTTGTCAATTGATGATGTGATCTGACTGCTATGTTCACTGCAGGGTCCTCAGGGTTTTCCTGGGAGCGGAGGCGATGGAGGAATCGTTTTAAAGGGACAGAAAGGAGAACAGGTGACCGTGTGTGCAATGTGTGATGTGTTGCACTCTCTAGATGTGTACCTACGAGGAGCAACGGAGCAATAGTTAACACGCTGTGCAATGGACCCGGTGACCCGAGTTCGATTCCCGCTCACGGCCAACACCGGTGACGATTATCTGAACCGGTCCTTGGTCCTCCCCTAGGTCAACTCGGCCTCAAATTAGTTCCTGGTGTGATGTTTGAACATTGCCGCTAGGGAGATAAAGGCGGCCAAGCGTGGTGGTGCTTCCCGCACACACCCACCCACTCGTTTGCTGTGCCAGACTTCATAGGTGCTCGCTCACAGCACTTACCCCAACAGTCGGAATGGCTGTACTGGGGTCTTTGTGGAAAGGGGTACGAGCCGGGGGGTGAGCCTTGAACTTCGCCTTCATTGCTTCTTCTGCGCAGCAAGGAGAACAGCTATTATTTTCTTGCTGATTTCGGAGGGATGTTGATGCTAATGATGATAAAGGCAATGATGAGACAACCCCTTCATAACAAAGATAGTATATTGACTCAAAACATACATTTTTAACAAAATTACAATGCAGAATTGGATTGTGCCATCTGTACGGCCTGTGTTCTCTGTTAATCAGAATCAGAATCAGAAATCAGAATCAGAATCAGAAAGGGTTTTATTCGCCATGTAAGTTCACACCGACACGGAATTTACTTTGGCAGGATGGTGCATACATTCAACATATAGGAATCTAAAATCTTAAATAAGTTTTAAACAAGTCTTACTATAATAAGGGTTAAAAGTCTAACACTAAGGGGCTGAAGTATATAAAATTAAATAAATATCGAATATAAAATAGCTTTAAGATATAATTTAAAAATACAAATAGGGAAACATAGTTAATATCAGCAACGTGTCGTTATGTAGATCAAATGTTAAAAACAGTGTTAGCCCTTGGCCTTGTTTAACAGGCCAGCAGCAGATGGGAAGAAACTGTTTTTATGGCGTGAGGTTTTGGTCCTGATGGACCGAAGCCTTCTGCCGGAGGGGAGTAGCTGAAACAGAGAGTGTCCAGGGTGGGAGAAATCGGCCATAATCTTCCTCGCTCGCCTCATAGACCTTGTCGTGTGCAGGTCCTCGAGGGTCGGTAGATTGCAGGCAATTACCTTCTCAGCAGTGTGGATGATACGCTGCAGTCTGCTCTTGTCCTTGGCAGTGGCAGCAGCGTACCAGACGGTTATGGAGGAGGTGAGGATGGATTCAATGATCGCTGTATAGAATTGCACCAATCCGTGTTGTTGTTGATTTCGTCTGTAGGGTTTGGCAGGCCAGGATGGGTTGCCAGGACAACCAGGGCGTTCGGGCAACCCTGGGCAAAGTGGACCTCAAGGACCCCCGGTAAATTTTCCACTGCACAGCTCACACTCGTCAAATCATCATCATTGCCATGGTAAGAGTTGTTTTTTGTGGTCTTTAAAAGTAGTACCACTTTTTGGGAAGTGGACAGTGTTTGCAAAAGGAATGTGAAATTTCGACCACCGTTTGAGGACTGCTGTATGTATGCTGAACTTCTTTCACACTGTATGTAGCCAACCGTGCTAATCGGAGGAGCAGGAAAGAGATGGGTGCAATCCCACGCTGGTCTTCATATCAGAGAGATGCTTTGACTTTTTAATGTCAATTTAAGCAGTAGTGGAATGGTCGTTTTGATGAGGCTGAAATCTTCCCATTTATTCTACCACAGGGGGCGACTGGTCCTCCAGGGACACCAGGAGAACCTGTAAGTAACCCACAATACTTTGCTCTATCCCACAATGCCTTGTGGCGACGACAACGCTTTGCGGCTTTCTCCAAAGTCTTGATGCAGCACCATGAGACCCGAGATGTTCCAGGAGCAAAGTTGTAACAGATCATGTTGGAATACTGATGCTGAGAGGACTCTGCCATGGTGGAAGGGCCAAGTACGCCAAACTGGCAATCCACAGGGGTCACTGGCAGGTTCAATTTCCCGGCACCGCAGTTAAAACAACGGTGCAAGTTTCTTCATGACACGTAGGTAGGCTCTCCAACACACCGGTGTGCTGAAGTATGAAGTAATTGGCACGTTTTGTTCACGTCACAAACCTTACTAATTGGCTGTGTCGAGTGGTGGTGGGTTAACGACACATTTATTTTTACGCAATTAAACCCAAAAACCTTCGTTACGTGGAAGTTCCTGTTCACCCAGTAGTATAAATGAGCACCCTTACATTATTGAGGGTGTCACGGTCGCGAGATGTTAATTACCTCACCTGGTATGCAGGAGGTCGTGGGTTCCGTCCTAACCCTGACTCCTGCATATTTAGAGTTTGCGTGTCTCTCTCCGCGTGAACGCGTGGATTTTTCTCTGGGTCCTCCGGTTTTTCCCTCCACATTTGGAAACATATGTATAGCGTATTTGGCTGCTATATATATCCACGTGATAAAAGCCACTTCGTTGGGCTATCATTTGTGGCCAACTCGCTTCTTCAAAAGAGATATATAGCTCAGTGTGCCTTACCTGGTAAAATAAGAGTCTAGTTTAGTAATAAATGGCTATACTGCAGTTAAGACAAGCGGAAGGTTGTGTGTGTGTGGTGGTGGTGGTGGGATAAAGTGTGGGTACTCCCCGCTCTTCCAAGACATATAGCCAGTGTTCAAAAGTAGACGGAATTACATTCCATAAGGGCCCTCTAGCCCTCCCTCTCGTGGAGGCTCTTCCACTGGCAGAGACGTGGGCAAGCAATTGCCGGGCTGCACCTTTACCTGAACCAATACTGTGCATTAACATTTCCAAAGGTGTGAGAAATAATTGGTGTGTTGGCTTTGTTTGTGTGTTGCAGACCACTCAAAAAAGTTATTAAATGTTTCGTTGTGACCTCCTACGCTGTTCATCGCATTGATAAAAGCACGCTGACGATCATGGCGACAGTGATAACGACCACAGTGCTGATAGCAAACATGGCAATGGCTCGAGGAGGCTTTCATCCAGCAGTAGACAGATTGTAGCTGATCATGATGTTGACTGTGATGATGATGATCACGATCATAATGATCATCACGAGGCCGATCGTGGTCATCGTTGTGGGGGTGATTGTGGTCATGAATTCCGATGGCGGTGATCGTGATGTTAATGATGACTTCATTGTGCTTGCTTATCTCCTTATCTTCATCTTGTTTAGGGGCGCCAAAGTCCACCCGGTTTGCCAGGGATAAAAGGAGAAAAGGTATTTGCTACGATAAATCTATTATCCACTATCATTAGTGTGCATCGTTCAAACCTATCAGTAAATCTGTATTGTTACGTGCCAATATCGCCCTCAATAAAGTGGGCATCGGTGGACGTGACAGCGGAATGGGAACGGTACCGGGGGGGGGGGGGGGGGGGGGGGGGGGGGAGGCACGGAGCGAACAGCAATGAGAGACGAAACAACCCGTCATGCCCTCGGCGGCTAACGCCGACCGAGCAGAGCGAATTGCAAGCGCGCCTCGTGAACACAATTCCGCTTCTTGTGTCGTCTTGAGCAGCGGTGCGGTGGCTTTGCTTTGCTTTGTTCACTGCGCTATGAACCCGGTCATCCCCGGCCGTGTGCAACAACGGTGGTGGGTGGCCCTGGGCCTCCGCTCCACAGATTCAGTCTCACATCGGCATTCTATTTTGAATGTCGACAATGGGGAGACAAAGGTGGCCCCGCATTGTGCTGGCTGGATTAAATGCTCGAGTGAATAGCCGCCCGCTAACAGCAGGGCTACACGGGGACATCTTTGTGTTTTTGTGCGCTTGACAATGCGCGTTTGCATGTGGCGTGTTTGTATGCCTGCGAGTGTCCTTGTGCACGTGTATGTGTGTCTATGTGTGTGTGTGTAGCGGTTAGCGCTACACTGTGCTACGAATCCGGCGAGCCGAGTGACGATTATCTTAATCGGTCCTGGGCCTCCCCTAGGTCGACTCAGCCTCAAATGAGTACATGATGCGATGCGTAAACATCGAGCAACAAGGAGAGACAAAGGTGGCCAAGCGCGGTGGTGGGCACACCGCCGCTACGTGCGCTGAGCCGGCCTCTTATTAAGTTCTCGTCAGCAGCACTTGCCCCCGTCAGTCTTGTTAAAGGCTACGCGGGGGCACTTTGTCTTTGTTCTCCTGTGCAGGGTGAGCCGGGGGTCGTGGTGGATGGCTCGGGAGGAGTAATTGGCCGCAAAGGGGAGCCCGGCTCTCCGGTGAGTTCATGGCACCGGCCGTTTCACCACACTCCCGTCGCGTCGGAAGCGCGGCGTGCCCAGAGAAGGATGCTCGGAAGTTCGCGGCAAGTCAGGGTAGAAGGCATGGCGAGGTAAAGACGCCCACGGCGAGAACGAGCAGATGGCCATGGTGGGTTCGGTGGGGGGGGAGCGGGGAGGAATGGGGGTAAGCAAGTTTGGGGTCGAGAAGCGAGTATGGCAGGTGGGTGTTGTAGGTACGATCCGGCAAGACAAGAACGCTTCACCCTAGGGGGACCATGTGCGCAGGATGAGGCAGGGCCGGTTGCCGAGGCGGGCATCGGAGAGTGGTCCCCACGAGCCCGGCGACCGAAAGCCGAAAGGGAAGAGCTGTGAGCAGGTCACGGGGAGACCGTGCGCTGACGACAGGCGGTCTCGGCGTGGGCAACAACACCCACACGCCTCTCGGGTTACTTCGCAGCGCCGCGCGCGACAAGACTCGATTCCAGACGATGCATTCCGAGCTCTCGTGGACGGGCCCACGCCAGTGTTGGCGAGCGGGTCAAGTGGCTTTTTTGAACAATCGGCAACGTGCGGTCGCAATTACACCGCCCCCCTTCCTGCCTGCTCGCGCGCTGCGTCGGTGTTTAGATGTGATCGCCAAAACCCCCCACGCTTTGCCTCTGTGCCCTGCGAGATTAAGTGAAGGGTCTGCCTGTGCGGGTGTTAGGACACAAACAGTTGGAAGCAGTGGCGTAAGTTAGCGACATTGTCGGCTCAGGGGGTGCGGCAAAGGGTCAGGTGGGGTCAATCTTGGAGGAAGCCAAAGGTTTACTGCTCTTATTAAATTCAAATAAGGACGCGGGACGTAAATGAAAGCATTTTCATATTTAAACTTAAATGTAAACCGCGTTTTAAGTGAGTCGTTGTTTCTTTGGCACTGTTGTTGAAAACGCATCTCGTGTTGGTTGTCAAGGGGGGCCCCATCTCGTAGCCTTGGCCACCAGGGGGGAGGGGGGCACCCCCTGCCCCCATGCCGCTCGTTCCGCGACTGGTCGGCGGAGGTGTTGCAGGGATGTTCGCCCATGAGCCGAGGGGAGTCGGTTGGTACCACCTGGGCTGCCAAATGCTCCCAAGTATCGACCGCAGGCATAAAGATGCACGCAGATTCCATATCTTCGAAAAAAAATTTAAAATTTTTATATTTTCTAGACGTTTTATATGATAAAAAATAGACAATATGCTATCGAATGTACTACGATACCCTTCTTCAAAATATTTTTCTCATAAATGGCTACGATGGTGTCCTTGCTATCATACATATCCGAGCTATATAGATAAAATGCTTACAGAAAACTATTGTTATCATTGGCCACCCGACATGGTACCGATGAGTCACATTTGAAAGGATGTGCTCCCGGGCTAATAATGCACTATGCTGTAACCCCAGCAACCTGTCTTCAATTCAGGGCCATGATGCATGTATTTAGTGATGAAGTAAGAATAATTTAGAGCACTGTGTCAATCTACTGCTGGATGAGGGCCTCTCCACACCGTGTCGATCATGGGGATTGTTTGACCCATATTTCACCGCACTGGTCAGTGTGTGTCGGTGAATTTGACGGCCAGGAGCGATTTCAGATATACATCTGCGTGTGTTTTAAATGTGTGGGAATCACATTATGCGTGTAACACACACACACACATACACGCGTGCGCAACACACACACAGAAACAAAGCAACGGATAACGTCTACTTGGTAATCCTTCGCCCCTCATGAAGTTAATCGGATCGGGAATAAATTGAAGCGGAATAAAGGCAGAGCTGACAAGTGCATGCGTATCGAATCGTCGCCAGGTGTCGCGTCAGCAGGAACGTTTAATCCCATCCCACCCCTTGATGCGAAGGGTCTCCTCTCAAGTGATCTATCGGAGCTCGCCGAGGTATGTGGCATTGGGTACGGAGCGTCCCATTCATGATGGCGGGGGGTGGGGGTGGCGGTGCGGAAGGGGTTTGTGATTGAAGGCGAGTTGTGGAAGCCGCATGGATGCGGTTGAAGCCCAGACACCCAGGTGTCTTCCTGCGTTTGCGGGACGGTGCCCATCTCTGTTGGCCGAAAATTCCACATTCTCATGGCAGGGGACAATCTCTTTGCAGTACAAACAGTGTTGGCCTGCCACGAAGTGGTACTCAAATTTGTATCGTTCATATATCAGAATCAGAATATGTATTTATACTGAAGGAATCCAGTAAGCTGTAAAGCTCAATATCCAGTAGGGGCAGGTCAGAACGTTAGAACAACAAACAACAACAAACAACAAAAACACGACAGAAACGTGCAGGAGAGGCAAACAAAAACATAGAAATAAAACTAAACCATCCCCATCCCACCAGGCATCATCATCATCTGGATGATGATGATGACGATGGTCTTAGTCGATCTCCATCGGGGATTGTAATTTTGGACACGCCACATTTCCCATGTCGGTTGTGGCTCATTGCGCCCACTCTGGAGGAATGACGTTGGTGAGGTCGAGCACCGGGACGACTTGGAGCCCGCACTCCTCCGCTCGTCTGTCCTCGGACTCTGAGTCGGGCGCTCGAGGGTGGCCATGCAGCCAGAGACAAGTGCAGCGGCGACTGCTTGAACTGTTGTCAAACCACAAGTGCGTGTGTTCATTATTTCCGAACGTGCATGTGTCCTGATCTTCCCTGTCCTCCCCCCCCACCTCCCTACGCCCCCCCCCCCCCCAACTCCTTCGCCCCGACTCCTCTGCGCACTCCGATATTCCTCCAGGGAATTCCCGGGAATTCGGGCCCCCAGGGATTCCGTGGGGAACCTGGCCCCCCCGGACCTCAAGGGCCCCCCGGAGAATCGGGCCTCTCTGGCAAGGTAAAAACACCGAGGAAGACGATGGTCGCCAAAATAACAGGCAGCGACGTCACCGCAGCCGCTTGTGCCAGGCTAGGTTCGCTGTGACAGGAGGTCACGGGGACGGTCCCAGGTGTTATGGGTTCATCAGTGAGATGCCCGGCAGATGCACCACCTGTGCTCCCCACCTGTTACCACCACCACCACCACCACGACCGCCACCACCTTCCACCAGCACCGGGAAAACATCGGCCCCAAATAAACTCCCAAAAAAAAACGTAAAATCCTCCATGGCTCGAGCAAGCCCTGGGCCAGCCATTGGTGGGAAATTCCACATTCCCAGGTAAAGGATAAGACTTTCAATTAGAGACCGCCACGGTCACGGCCGTGACGTACGTGATGTTCCATGGCTTGTGGTAACCTTTTTATTGCTCGTGATTTCTTGTTTTGGTTGCCATTTCTTAATTTGTTTAATGCTTTTTAGTAGGGCTTTTATTTGCTTGGCAGTGGCTCCGTATGGGAATTGGTTCTCATACGAACAATTAACGTGCAGCGCTGTGGGATCCTATGACCCACGAATGACGCTGTAGAGACCAGCGTCATTCGTGTACGAGCCACTTCGCGCGAGGAGCTACTGTTTGCAAGTCCCACACGCATGCGAGGGGGTTCGCGTGATCTCTTTGGCCACGGGAGGGGGAACGACGCGAACGTCGCCTCGTGGAGAAAATCGCCGTGACCATTGCGCGTTACCGACCGCGGTAATTGCGTTGACTTGCGAGGGGGAGCAACTCGTGAAAGCGGCTAATGCTCAAATTATCCTCTCGCAGAGGAACTGCAATAAAGGAATGCAAACTCGTTAATGCGGTTGCCGAGGATTATGGGTTAGCAAATAAATAGACACGTGTGATTGTTTCTGGACAAAAAATATATATGTATCTCAGTTTACCAGGCAATGGGCCTTCAGGAACAATATTATCCGGCATTGTTTATGTTAAATCAGCCGAGCAGTATATACCTCCGTGATTGCAAGGTAATCAGTTAAAATCCTGGTCGGATAATTTTTTGACCTGCTCTAGCTCATTGGAAATGTGTAATTTCAACCAGCTGGGCAGCACTGCTGTATTGTGCGTATTAAAACGCGGAGACTTTGACTGTTAGATGCGCATTATAAATTGGAATTATTATTCGATGTATTTACACGATTGGGCGAAAACGACATCGCGTTGGCTTGTGGGAATCGTGTACTGAACGCCGTTCATGCGTTTGAGTGCTCTTTGCTCTCACTCCTCTTGTTTCTGCACAGGGTGACAAAGGAGACAAAGGAGAGAGGGTGAGTATCTCGATCTCGGTGGACTCTTGTTGATTTCAGACGGTGTCCCCGGGGGTGTCCAATCTCCCGGCACGAGAGTCGTAACGATGGGATGAGTTTACTTATGAACTCATCCAACCTCCGTCCCGACGAGCAGAATAAAATGTGCAGCCCGTGATTTATCGAACGGCTGGTGGCGTGTGGAATGGGGGAAAGTGTGGCTGAGTGAGAGGTGGACGCGGTATCTTCTGCAGGGGCTCTCTCGAGAGTACTTTTTTTCCTGCTTTTCATGGCAGCATTAACCGACGGTAAGCAGATAAGGAGGAGGCTGATCACCGGTGAGTGAATCAGCGAGTGCTGGATCATCGATCACCCTGACAGCCGCGCGTTGAATTCTGTCTGGCGGTGCAGCGAGGTGGTAACCGAGCGCCGCAGGCCCAGGTGTGACAGCGGCGCTGTCGGCGGGAGGCGAGGGCAGTCGTCGCGAAACGTTAATAACGCATCGTGAATAACGCATCGAGTGTTGGCGCTGCGCTTCCGCGTCTCTCTCAGGGACCACCCGGGTACGGCGGCGGCGGCGGCGATGGCGAAGCCACTAAAGGCAGTCCGGGCCTCCCTGTGAGTTCCGCAATGAGCACGATTACACGCACACATGCACGGAGGGGGGGGGAGAAAGAAAAAAAATTATGAAAAGAAAAAAACGCCCGGGCGCCCTTCATCAATGGCGTACGTACGCACGTCGGAATAGTTTTGTGCCGTCACTGAGCCAACGCGAACCGCCCACGCACGTTGCCGGCCGCCGTGCGGTGGCTCTATTGGGCCGGCGCCCGCCGATGTTCGGACACCGGATCGGCACGCCCGAGGGGTGTTTTGTGGCCACTTGAAGCCCCCGAGAGGCTGTGGCTGCTGTCTTTCAGATGCCGATGTGTGTATGTACGTAGCTGGCGATAAGGTGGTGTTGCGGGATGCTCTCCCTGCATCGTTCTGATGATCATCATTACGCGCGTCATCACATCGAAATCATCATCATCATTGTCGTCATCATCTAAAGGAAAATAAATAACGTGGGAATGGGCACACCGTGTCATGAGAACATGTATGTATGTATGTTGAACTTCTTTCGCACCATACGTAGCCAACCGTGCTAATCGGAGGTGCGCGGGGGAAGGACACAAAAACAAGTTCTCGAGAAATGAGTTTTCAATCTAATCCAGTGGCTTCTCAATAACAACACTGCGTGGCTTTAAATGGAAAGGTATGTACAGTAATAGGCAACGTTTCAGGTAATGGTCCTCCTTCATTGCATGAAAACAGAGAGGCCAGAGAGGTCCAGGACACTCGGAAGCTGGTCTATGCGTTTGTTTGTCTCTCGTATTGACTTTTGCAAATCACTGTTTTGCCGGAATCCCCATTGTTAAATCGTTAACTCGCCCGCAGCGCGTGCGGAGTGCGGCCTGCCGGAATCCTTTCGCGAAGCTCCGCCGGTTGCCAGACATGTGACCCCCTGCACTGGCAGCGCTCCGCTAGCTGCCGGTCCCGTTTTTGACAAGAGTTCAAGATTCTTCTCCTCGACCCACAAGGCTGCTTAATGATGCTGCTCCCTCGTGCATACCGGGACCTCCTCCTTCTCCTCCTCTTACGCTCACGGCCAACACAAGTTACACTTATCTGAACCCGCTCTTCCCCGAGGTCAACTCGGCCTCAAATGAGTACCTGGTGTGACCCGAGTTCGAATCCCGCCCACGGCCGACTCCAGTGACGATTATCTGAACCGGTCCTGGGCCCCCTCTAGGCCCCCTCTAGGCCGACTCAGCCTCAAATGTGTACCTGGTGGGGTGTATGAAAATCGCCACTGGGAAGACAAAGGCGGCCGGGCGTGGTGCTGGCCACCCATCCCCTCGTGCCCTGTGTCGGCCTTCGTAGGTACAGTATTGCTCGCTAACAGCACTTGCCCCACTGGTCTACTAAAGCCATACGGGAATATTTGTCTTTGTTTTATCCAGCACCTTTTGTGATATCCGAGTGAAAGGCGCTTCAGAAGTGTAAATAATAATTATTATTAATATATTTAGCTGGCAGGGCCACTGATGTGGACAAGCTGAGAGGAGCTGGAGGAGGAAGGCGTTGGGTTGAGTATCGAATTGAAGCCATGAGAAGCTGTGAGGTGCCCCCTCGTACACAGATTACAGATTACACAGATTACAGATTGCACAGATTACAGATTACACAGATTACAGATTACACAGATTACAGATTACACAGATTACATATTACACATATTACATATTACACAGATTACAAATTACACAGATTACATATTACACATATTACAGATTACACATTACAGATTAAACACAAAGAAAACGATCCCTGAATCAGCCTTATGGAGCATGGACTTAATTATACACGCACGTGGTGCATAAATAAATAACATCATATCTACAAAGCGCACTTGCAAAGTATATATGCATAATTAAATACATTTCTTTTCGATTTAAGGCGTTCGTGACTGCAATGATTCATCTTCTTTGGTTCTTTCGGTAAAGCCACCCAGCAACATCAGCAAAGACGAACGTTTTGAATTATCTCAATTAAAAAAGAGGGATGATATTGTCGTTCTCTCAGCCGACAAAGGCAATGCCACTGTCATCATGGACAAAACAGAATATAACAACAAAATTCAAGAACTACTCAACGATGGCAGCTATACAAAAATAAGAGATCCCACCAACAGCCTGGTCACCAAAACGAACAAAATTATCTCTGATTCAACAGCATTAATTGATGAGATCAAACAGTTCTCGTTGAAACCCTCTGCTGCCAGACCACCAAGATTATATGGCCTTCCAAAGATACACAAAGAAGATACACCCCTTCGTCCCATCGTCTCTACTATCAGCTCCCCCACCTACAAACTGGCACGTTTTCTGGCTGATATACTGCGACCTTTCACTGGAAAAACCACCTCTGCGGTACTAAATTCTACTCACCTGGTATCGACAATCAAAGACATTTCCCTGTCCCCAAACGACCTGCTTGTCAGTTTTGATGTGGTGTCATTGTTCACCAAAGTCCCGGTACCTGACACCATCGCTATCATTGAAGACCTGGTTCATCAAGGACTGCATACTGATGTACCCCCCCTGGTGAGACATTGCTTAACCAACACATACTTCACCTGGAATGGAACTTTCTACAAACAAACTGAGGGCACCCCAATGGGCTCCCCCCTATCTCCGGTTGTAGCCAACGTATTCATGGAAAAAATTGAAACTGACGCCATCCAGACTGCCATTCTACGCCCGACCTTATGGAAGAGGTACGTTGATGACACCTTTGTCATCTGGCCACATGGCCAGCCTGCTCTAGACCAATTCCGCGACCACATCAATTCCATACACCCAGCCATCAGATTTACCATGGAGGTCGAAAAAGATGGCAAACTACCCTTTTTGGATGTCTTAATTAAAAGGAGACATGATGGTTCAATGAGCCACTCTGTCTACAGGAAAGCTACCCATACAGATGCTTACTTGAAACTGGATTCCCACCACCATCCATCCCAGAAGAACTCCCTCATCAAGACTCTATACCATAGAGCCCAATGCATTTCCGACCAGGAACACATTACCAGTGAACTCAAGCACGTACACCAGGCTCTCAGGGCTAATGGCTACTCCGACTACACAATCCGCAAAGCCATCACTCCAGTCATGAAGAAGGATCCTCTTGTGGAGCCACTCAAAACCATCACCTTACCCTACATTGCAGGGGTCACTAAAAAGATCTCCAAAATCCTGAATAAACACAAGATCCAGGTCCGATTCAACACAGTACACAAAATCCGTGATTTAGTTCCATCTGTAAAAGATGCTCTTCCAGACATACAGTACCCGGGCATTTACAAACTAAAGTGCCTCTGTGGTAGTAGCTACATTGGAGAAACCAAAAGACATATCTCGGACCGCATCCGCGAACATAAAGCAGACTTGAAACACGGTAGGACGAACTCCTCTGCCGTGGCAGATCACTGTTACAATTCAGTGGGCTCACATGACATTGACTTCTCCAAGACGGAGGTTCTTTGCAAACCAACCGGCTACCATGAGAGATTCGTTCATGAGGCCATTCACATATACAAGCACAGAGACAATTTCAACCGAGAAGATGGATTCAGGCTTAGTAACCACTGGAAAGATGTGTTAAATCATTTCTGTTCTTAATTAATTGTATTTTTACGATGACCTTCAGACCGCAGCTCTTTCGCCAGCATTGCCTCTTAATACCTCTCACACCACGGTTAATGGTATGGTTTACAACATGGAGTATACTAGGGCCTCGCAGCTGTCTCTCTCCCCCTCCTCTGTTCCGACCATGGACGAACTCGTCCGTGAACGGGGCCCGTAGCTATCCGTGGTGCGGAAATTTGAGGGTAAGAATCCACCCATTTTTTCGCCATATAGCATTGTGATATATAACGACTTATTGTTGGTAGCTTAGCTGATTGGAGAATATAGAGTTTATTGATAACATGAAGGTAATTTATATTTTAGTTTTTATTGGTTCACTATATAGTACTGTGAATAGCTCAGATGTGTAGTCATTTCTGTGACCAGTCACTAGCAAATCACTCAGTTATTTCAATGCTAAATTCGCCTAGTTATTTCAATGCTAAATTCTCCTGTTTGATTTGTACTAAGTGCCTCGGTGAATGTGTATGCTCTGACTTCAACGTAGCTATTTCTGTAGCAGTTACAAGCGAATCACTCAGCTATTTCAATGCTAAATTCTATGCTAATTCCATTGTCAAGGGGTGCCTCTGCGGATGTGTATGCCTTAACTTAGCTATTTCAATGCTAAATTCTATGCTAATTCCTTTTAACAATGGGTGCCTCTGCGGATGTGTATGCTTTAACTTTTAACATAGCTATTTCTGTGACCAGTCACAAGCTAATCATTCAGCCATTTCAATGCTAAATTTTATGCTAATTCCTTTGTCAAGGCTCTTTGTTCCTCTCACACAGCTTAAAAGCCGTGATCTGAACGTGGCTCTCTCACTCCAGCGCTGTCCTACCAGACAGTCTCGCCCCCTTCACCTGATGAAGGTCGCTTGTGTTGTGGCCGAAACGTCGTGAGAATATTATTGTGTTATTTTATTTTATCAATTTATTATTTTATTCTCATTCTACGTGACTTTACCGAAAGAACCAAAGAAGATAAATAAATTTCAACGTTGAGTCGACCGGCAGGTTGCTTGGTATGGGTGTGCCTACATCTGGCCAATGTAGAAGAGTGGACCAAATTTCCACCATAGAGTTGGCTGTAGTGGAGGCTCTTACCAATAGCATTGGCATGAGCAAGCACTTGCAGGGGCTGCACCTTTACCTTTTACGCTGTGACTATTCACCAGGAGTCACCGGATTTCTTCTCGGCTATTGCGTCGACATTCTCTCCAAAGACGTGCCAAAAAGAACAAAATGCAGTCGTCAACGGACTGATTTTACGTTTGTATTTAGCACAGGTGCAAACTCTGAGCAGATACGAACCTTCCCAGGCATTAATTGAAAAATATATTATAATAATAAAATGCTCCAAAACTATTGGTCAGAAATTATAGG